CTCCCACAGAGTGGGTCTCCTCAGGGTGCCGTCGGCCAGACAGTGCCGGCTGGCGACCCCAAGGGGGAGGGCCTTCTCTGTGGGAGCTCCCACCCTCTGGAATGAACTACCCCCAGAGATCAGGGTGATCCCTGATCTCCCTTCCTTCCGCCGCGCCCTTAAGACATGGTTATTCCAGCTTGCAGGACTGGCCTAGGGGGAAACTTTTAGAGGGGGTTTTAATTATAATTTTAATTAGACCAATTACTAATATTTCCCTTTTAATTAACTTTTTAATCTGTAGTGTGATATTTTTTGTATTTTTATCCGGTTGTTAGCCGCCCTGAGTCCGCAAGGAGAAGGGCGGGATATAAATCTAAAAAATAAATAAATAAATAAATATGATGATCCATCCCTTTTTTTTGAAACTGTGTCTGTTGCTCTCCTCTTCCTCCTCTTTGTTCCTTCAGGTGTCTGTGGTGAAGAGTGAAGAAACCAAGATGCGCCAAGAAGATCTCAGCAGACTTTTGTATGAGATTCAAGTCCTCCGGAACCAGCAGGAGATGATGGAGTGTCAAGTTCAGGATGTGAAACAGTAAGTTGACCTCCCGGCCTTCAAACATACCGCTTGGCATTTGCCACAGGGCTTCATGGCATGCAAACATCAGCTTGGGGACGGCACCCAGCCTCCCCCATGGGCAGCATCTCTAAAGGCCATCAGAAGTGACCTAAACAGAAGTTCATTCCTTCTGGAGACTGTGACCTTTGGCCCTTGGTCTCAGGGAGAGCTACTGTCTAAGCCAGGGGCCGTCAAACTTGGCAACTTTAAGACTTGTGGACTTCAACTCCCAGAATTCCTCAGCCAGCACTGAGAATTTGTAGCTGAGGAGTTCTGGAAGAGACTCCTGCAGTAGACCACAAGCTGTCCAAATGGGCTGTACAGGTAGTCCTCCACTTACGACCACAATTGAGCCCAATATTTCTGAGAAACATTTCTTAAGTGGGTTTTGCCCCATTTTTACAACTTTTTTTGCCACAGTTGTTATGACAGTGATGTTTCTCTGTGTCGTGTGTGTGTGTGTGTGTGTGTGCGTGCGCATAATGGTATCTTTTTTGAGAGCTGAATGCAGCAAAATTTCATTTTAATGTAAGCTGATTAGTGTACATTTAAAGTGACAAACTATTATTCTAGTCTAGTCTAGTCTAGTCTAGTCTTATTATTCTATTCTATTCTATTCTATTCTATTCTATTCTATTCTATTCTATTCTATTCCATTCCATTCCATTCCATTCCATTCCATTCCATTCCATTCCATTCCGTATTTTCTATTCCATTCCATTCCATTCCATTCCATTCTATTCTATTCTATTCTATTCTATTCTATTCTATTCATTCCCATTCCCATTCCTTGGAATTAGATGGTCTTGAGGATCCCACAGTCAGCTGTGTGTTAGTGCGATAACTCTTCTCTCTTCAGGCAGAACGAGGTTTTATGGAAAGAAGTTCTGTGTCTCCGGCAAAACCATTTGCAGCATCAGAAGGTGATCAATAAGGTAATGAGGGGGTTGAGACTCATGGAGCACCAGTGAGATACATTCTCAACCCGTGGTGGGCTTACACTTGGGTTTTCTTAACTGTGCTTTCTTTGAGTAGATGTAGGAGAGGAGCAGGCAGAGCTGGTGGGGTGGAGTTAAGCGCATCACTAGCTTAGAATCCTTACATTCCCACAAGTGGTTCAGGTCCAGCCCCTCTTGAATTCCATTACTTACCTGGTGCCAATTTAGAACTGACTGGATCAGAAGACCTCCAAGGTCCCTTCCAGTCTATGAAATAACTGGGAAATACAGTTTGGGCAAAGCGGGTGCAGGCGTAGGTGCCTAGTTCAGAAGGCTGTCCCTGCAAGCAGAACGGGAACCCCAGGTATTCAGAGAGAGGCTGCCTTATTGGGTGCTGACTGATGTTTTCCCCAACAGCTGATTCAATTTCTGTTTGGCCAGCTCCAGCCCAGTCCCAGCAGTCCTGGGATAAAGAGAAAACGGTAAGTAGCCCCATGTGACACCTACATGGCCAAGGAACTCTTGTTGGGGGGTGGGGGGGCACTCTGCTCTTGCAAAGTGTGGAGCTGTTTCAAAGAGCAGAGCTAGTCATGGGACTTGGGCACTCTGGTGACCAGGATCTGAACAGGAGTGGAATTGATGAGTCAGAGCTGCTGACCTGGCTGATTCAGGGCCCTTGGACAGCCACCCAGTCAGCTGCTGAGGCCTTTGTTTGGAAGCTTGCTGGGCTGAGGCAGAGGAGACCAATGGCCGGAGGGTTGGGATGGAGGCAACTGCTTCATGAACCCCACCCCACGGGATTAGTTACTCATAGCTCTGAGAGGGTAAGGGAGAGATACCTGGATTGGATTGAAACAATGTTATCTTGAGGTGGCTTTTGGATCCATCTCATTCATGGGGTGCTGTGGAAGCAGCCAAAGGGGGCTTGAGAATATTATGGGGGTCAGTGGGAGCAGTTTATTCATCCTTGAGCACTCAGTCTTGTTATAAGTGGGAGCAGTGTTTTTCCACACTTGGCAACTTTAAGATGGGTTGCCTTCCACCCTTGGAATTCCCCAGCCAGCAAGTTTTAAGGTGCAGACTTCAACTCCCATAATTCCCCAGCCAGCATGCTTTAAGGTGTGGACTTCAGTTCCCATAATTCCCCAGCCACCATGCTTTAAGGTGAGGACCTCAGCTGCCGGAATTCTCGTGTAGTCATGAAAATTCTGGTTCCAATTGTGCTCGTGAGCTGAAGTCTACCTGCATTCAAATAGAACAAAGGAGGGGGGGAACCTGCAAAAACAATAGGAAAATTATAGTGAACTATTAACATTATCTATAAAAGGGCTTTTTATACGAGTTTAATAAAACAGGTTCAGTAAAAGTTGTATTTCATTGTATAATTTTCCATACCTAGTCTATGTCCGTACACAGTCTATAACAGGGGTAGGCAACCTTGGCTCTTTTATGACTCGTGGACTTCAACTCCCAGAATTCCTGAGCCAGCATGGCTCAGCTTGGAAACCTCTCCCTTTTCCCTCAGTGTGGCTGGCTCAGGAATTCTGGGAGTTGAAGTCCATGAGTCATAAAAGAGCCAAGGTTGCCTACCCCTGGACTAGACCAAGGGTAGGCAACCTTGGCTCTTTTATGACTCGTGGACTTCAGCATGGCTGGCTCAGGAATTCTGGGCGTTGAAGTCCACGAGTCATAAAAGAGCCAAGGTTGCCTACCCCTGGTCTATAACCTCGCTCGTAAGTTACAAGTAGGATTAAATTTTCCATTTACTGAGTAAGCAAAATAAAAAGCACATACATTCATGGTATTATAAACGTAGCTAGAAAGCCAGTTTGGTGTTTAGGTTAAGGAACCAGGCTAAAAACCAGGCGACCAGGAGTTCTAGTCCCAACTTATGCACAAAGCCAGATGGGCGAGCAAGGGCAAATCTTGGCAAATCCAGACGATCACCAGGAGTTGAGACTAACTTGAAGGCACAATAAACAAATGAAATAATCCGTGATAAGGCTGTGGGAGCCACAGATCAGGATGTGGGGGTTAAACTGCTTTGCTTCTTATCCACCCATAGGCCTCTCATGTTGGATGACGGGAACTCTGCCCCACAGGTGACCAAATTCCGAAGACCTCTGCCTCTGGATCCCTTTCACGAGCCTTGCTACATTCAGTCTGTAAGTTTGGGATTGCGGTCCCTCCACTCTTTTGCTTCTCACCTGCTCTTGCTTTGGCTGACAACTGGTTTGGGACGACCTTCAGCTCTCTGTTGGCCAGGCAGCTGGGCAGCTGGTGACCTGAGGAGCTACTTCTTGGTCTGAAGCAAAAAATTTTATGGGATTGTAAAGGGTCTGTGCGAGTGACCTCCGGAGATGGAGGGAGAGCCACAGACAGGATGTCCATTCCGACGGTCGGGCCCACCCTGTGGTTATGTGACAGAAATTCAGCCACTCAACAACACGGCTTCATTTACAGCCATTTGCAGTGTGCTGCGGCCAAATGACCCTGTCTCACAACAGTTTTGCTGAAAACTGGAACTTCTGGCTTTTGGCCAAACTGTGCCCAAAGCAAACCATTAACTCACTTAAGGACTGTGGCTTTTGCTTAACGACTGTGGATTTGCTCAATGGCCGTGGCAAACGAGGTTGTAAGATCAAGTTGGTCATGTGAATGACCCATTTTGTGATTGTTGTGACCTATGACTGTAGTGGGCAGGCTTCATAAGTCAAGGACTACCCATATTCTTCCGGAGCTTCATCAGAATAACGAAATATACATATATCTTCTCTTCCCTGTTTCTAGCCATCTGCAGAACATGCCTCGTGTTTAAACGGCCCTGTTCTGAAAGGGGCCACCATTTCTGATGTTTCCGAAGCCACCCAGCCCAGTCCAGCACCTTTGCAGCTGCCTCCAGACAGCGAGAGGTAAATAATTACATGAAAATAGTAGGAAAATGGGGGAAAGCACAGCAGGGGCCTCTAAACTTGGCAACTCTAAGACTTGTGGACTTCAACTCCTAACCCTCTTGGCTCAGGAATTCTAAGAGCTGATGTCCACAACTCTTACAGTTGCCAAGTTTGGAGACCCCTGCTCTACAGGTAGGAAGACATCAATGAGATGTTCTTCTGTGGGATCCTTGCAGATGTTTTCATATGAAAACAGTTATTGGGACGTGTTTGGGCTGAGGAAGAGGAAGAGTCTGGAGCCAGTTGAGCAAAGAAAGGCAGAACATGGAGAGGACCTATTTTTCTTTCCAGGGAAACCGGTCTTTTGCTAATCAAGGAAGAAGCTTCTGGTCCAGACAGGAAAGCTGATTTCACAAGTCCTGCTGTTCCCTTGGTTGGCTACAACCCCTGTCCTGAGCCCCCTGTGCTGCCCATTACCGTGGTCCAGTCGGTCTTAGATGGGAGGACGAGGTGTGACGATCTGCAGCCAATGTGTTTGCAGCCCCAGGAAAGACGGTCGTTTTTGGACAGGTGAGGCACAGGTGTGCACCCAGCATTGCTGAAGTGCCAGCTTGAAGATCGCTCGAATTGAAAGTTTACTCCTGCTTTTTTTGTTCTCCTGACCTGCTGGAGATCATCCCATTTACATGTTTGAAATGTTGTGTAATATTTGGTAAGCTCTGACCCAAGAATGCTCCTATTTCATACTAGAATACCGAATGCTTGCGAGTTCTAGCTTTCGCATCTGAGAACTGGCGAAATTTCAGGAGAGAATACTGAAATACGTGGCGATTTGGCGAGAAGTTAGCTTTAACGTCCCCTGAAATTTATCTGGACAACTGTCTCTTTTTTGTGTGTGTGTTTCTCCAGAACAGTCATTCCTGATCTCTGGGACGGGGCTGATCTGAATTTGGAAGGCTTCCAGATCTTTCTAAGAAACCAGCAGTACAATGTGGAAACCACCAGATCTTTGGAGGTGAATCCCCTAAGCTGGCTGCGGGAATTCTGGGAGCTGAAGTCCCGCTCGTCTTAAAAGTTGCCAAGCTTGAAAAACCTTGGGTTAGAGACATCCACAAGAGGGGCTAAAAATAAAATATGGAGGTTCTACCTGTATGGCTGCAGGTAGTCTTTGACTTATGACCACAATTCAGCCCAAAAATTTCTGTTGTTTCACTTAAGAACAGAAATGTTGGGCTCAACTGTGGCCATAAGTTAAGTGAGTTTTGCCCCATTTTATGACCTTTCTTGCCACAGTTCTTAAGTGAATCACCGCAGTTCTTAAGTTAGTAACATGGTTGTTACTTTGCTTGTCAGAAGCAAAGGGGGATCACGTGACCACTTTGCTTGTCAGAAGCAAAGGGGGATCACGTGACCCCGGGACAAGCGTCTGAATTTTGATCACATGATCATGGGGATGCTGCAAAGGTCGTAACTGTGAAAAACAGTCATAAGTCACTTTTTGCCAGTGCCGTTGTAACTACGAGTGGTCACTAAATGAACTGTTGTAAGTTGGGGACCACCTGCATTTAAGGGAGTGGAATTCCTCCCTTCTGATGTGATTGTTGATGGCAAACTTGCAAGAGCTGCTTCGAACTCGGAACAGGCGTGTTTAGTCCAAAGGCATCCTGAAACATCCTGCCTTTGTGCTTGAAAGCAGTTTGCTGTGTCCCTTTTGGAGTGGAGAGAGGGTCAAAATCGAAGCGTCGGCGAGGGTTCGTCGCTGTGCATTTTACCCCAAAGGGAGCTGAGTATCTCTTTTCTTCCTTTATGATAGGCCTTCAATCCCATGATCCCTTCGAGTGAGTGGACTTTAAACGACGTGGAGGCTGATTTACCTGGGGTAAGAGACGGACCCGAGGGAGACCCAGGGAGGTGGTATTGCCTCAACCGAGGGTTAGCCTCAAGATCACATGAAGTGGCAGTACCACTTTATACTGCACTGGTGAGGCCAATTTGCAGTACTGCATCCGGTTCTGGTCACCACGATGTAAAAAAGATGCTGAGACTCTAGAAAGAGTGCAGAGAAGAGCAACCAAGATGATCAGGGGACTGGAGGCTAAAACCTATAAAGAACGGTTGCTGGAATTGGGTATGTCTAGTTAGGGGTCAGGAGACTAAATTGCCTGATGAGCAACTGAGGGAATTAGGTATGTCTAGACCAGGGTTAGGCAACCTTGGCTCTTTTATGATGCGTGGACTTCAGCTCCCAGAATTCCTCAGCCATCCACTTGTAACCACTTTCCCCTTGGCCTGCATTTCCATTAATGTTCACCTGGTCCAGTTTGCAGGTGGGCCACTGGGTGACCAAGGTGGCAGGACAGGCAGGAAGGCAGGAAGAAGCAGCAATGGAGGGAAACTTATCAAAGAGAGACCTAACCTGGAACTAAGGACAAATTTTCTGACTGTGAGAACAATTAACCAGTGGAACTGCTTGCCTCCAGAAGTTGTGGGTGCTCCATCACTGGAGGTCTTTAAGAAGAGATTGGGCAGTCATTTGTCTGGAATATGGTATAGGGTCTCCTTTTGAGTGGGGGGGTTGGATTAAAAGACCTCCAAGGGACCTTCCAATTCTGTTATTCTTATTCTGTCCTGTTCTGGATCAGCCAGTTTTATAAAAAAACATCCCTACCCCTCTCCCCTTTCCTTGGGCACTAACTCTGCATTGTTGTACTGTAGTTTGTGGTTTTTTTGCATCAGGCTGCAGATGCTCACTGTGGAACAACCGGAGAAGAGCACAAATAAGAAGCCCTCCTGAGGACTAGAACCTCGGCTTCAGTACCTCTTGCCCAGGAGCTGAATGTTTACATCTGGAAAACACGGCTTTGTCCGCTGGCTTTGTCTCGGATTCCAGTGACCGACCCACACCCATTTCCCAAGAAGAGACTATTTTTCTGACATATTCTTGTGCTGCTATTTTTACCAGTTCAGAACACTCTTTTTGAATGGAGAGCGCCATGCGTTCAACTGGTTTTTTGGGGGGAGGCCATATGCATTCAACTGGTTTGTTCTGCATATAGTCTAGTATTCTCCTCCATCTTGGTGCCCTCCAGACATTTTTGGATTACAGCTTCCTTCATCCACAGACAGCTCAGTTATTACTGGCAACCATATATTGTGTGTTAGCATATCTGTTTATCTAGGCCAGGGGTAGGCAACCTTGGCTCTTTTATGACTCGTGGACTTCAACTCCCAGAATTCCTGATCCAGCATGGGGAAAGCTTTGGCCCCTTCATGACCCGAGGGCTTCAACTCCCAGAATTCCTGAACCAGCATGGCTCAGCTTGGAAACCTTTCCCTTTCCCTTCAGCACAGCTGGCTCAGGAATTCTGGGAGTTGAAGTCCACGAGTCATAAAAGAGCCAAGGTTGCCTACCCCTGATCTAGGGTATCCTGCCCCTGCAAGGAATTGGACTGGTATACTGCAACTGTCATAAAGACATGCTGATTGCCATGATTGTGTAACTGTGGGGATGCTATGATGGTCATAAGCTCGAGGACCAGGGATAAGTCACCTTTTTCAGTGCCATTGTAACTTCAAAAGGTCATTAAATGGATGGCTGTAAGTTCAAGACTACCTGTACAGTAAGTAGGCAATTACCCAATGCATTGAAGCATATACTGCCCCCCAGTGGCCCACATAGGTATACATCGCCCTATAGGGACAATACCGCTATGCTTTTAAGCCATGGGATTTACTGCTCCTGGAAAATTACTTTTAATTTATTGATAGTTGGCCAATGCCCTTTTTCTTTTAACCTTTTCTCTTTAAAGGGACTTCATGTGTTCTCTTACAGAGGAAAAAAAAGCTTTAAAGAATCCAGTGTTTTCTTCTATCCATTGACAATGATCACCTGCCCACCCAGGGCTGCGTAGTTTTATTAATTCGTCTATTTGTACCACTCCTTTATTATTATTAGAAATAACTCAGCAGCAGACATACCTAATATGCTTTCCTCCTCCTGTTTTGCCCACAAGAACAATCCTGTGAGGTGGGATGGGGCTGAGAGAGAGAGAGAGAGAGGGACTGGCCCAAATTCACCCAGCCAGTTTTTCATGCCTATAGTTGACCTAGAACTCAAGGTCTCTTGGTTTCTAGGCTGGTGCCTTTTACCATTAGACCACACTGACTCTTGTAGGTCAGGTTGCTGAAGGGTTAGCTGATCATTTACAACATATGGAAGGGGGGAACACTTTATAGCTTAATAAATAATGAAATAGCTAGCCACTGGCAAGTTAAAGATGACGTTGGCCTCTAAAATTCCAGGTGAATTTTGCTCAACCGTGTTAGGTCTGCTGTGCTTTCGTTTCTCAACAGCCTCTTTATGAGCGACGTCAAAGAAGAATACATATTTGACTCAATATTATTAAGAACCCAGCGTCCTAGAAAACAGATATCTATATTAAAAATGAACCGTTTTAAGAATTTCCTTCGAATTTACTGTGTCGGCTTTTTCTGTGTGAATCTGGAGCTTATGACTTCGGCATTTCTCTGATTCTTCTTGGGGACTGACTGGTTGGTATCCAGAAGTCCTGAAGTGAGAAGTTATAAAATGTTTTAACATCTCTCAGAGGTGTTGAGTTTCCTTCCATGTCAGTCTGGTTTTCAAGCACAGCGTTAGGATTCTCTTGTTATTTACGGCTGTGATTCTCTCCCACATTCTGGGCAATTTACAAGTCTAAAAATCCAATGTTGAGTTTCTTGGATTTAGATGGTGTCACTATAGACCTCTCCCTTATTTTTACGTAAACTGAATTTTTGCTTTCGTCACCCTTTTTAATCATTTGTATTGCTCCCTATTTTATTCAGAAACACCTCCCTCCATTAATTTTGGACCTTTTTTTTGTCTGGGTAGAAATCTCCTTTCTTTTGTGTTCCTAAGGATGTCATTCTGGAAAATTATCTCCTGGCATCTCCTTGACTGCCAAGCTTTATAATCTTTAATGCTTTCCATTCAGTCTGGAACTTTCTCCTCCTCCTCTGTTTTATGGCTAAGAAATGCACTACGTTAAACCTGAGGAGTTGGTGATTCTGATCTTTGCATTGAACTTACCAACCAACAAGCAAGATAAGGAATGAGGTGCGCACGGCTGAGAACAGAAACCTTTATTGAAGCTGAGTTACAACTAGAAATAAATCCAAAGAGAAATATACAACGGCAACTTCATAACTTGCTGTCCCAGAAGGCACAGGACAACAAAACTGAAAAACATTGGATTTTAGCGGGACAAAACACAGCAGACGAGACTTAAAATTTCTGCTCTCTCAATTTAGCTGTATTGTGCTAACAGAACGACAAAAATTAAACCTGGATTCTAAGTTTAAATGTTGATGACCTGCCACAGAGGTTTCCTAGCTTCATTACCACATGGTAGCTCTGGATGCCCTCAGTCCCCTGTCCAGACCATCACACAAGTTTGCAGTTAATCAAGAGAACCTCGGAGACGGATCAGGCAGGTGAAACCATCAGGGTGCATTTTGCTCTACATCTCACTCCTCAGTCCAACACGTGTTCAGCATCTTCACTTGCTTCTAATCCTGGTTGCTCTGCATCTGTCAGGAGGCATAAAACACAGCTAGTTTTCTTAGCATAAGCAGGCAAAGCCACGGCCTTCCAAAGGCTTCTCAAAGGAGGGAGCCTGTTCAGTTATTTCGCTTGAAGTGTGACTCCACAGGGGCCGCTGAGATGATTCAGAACCTAATTAAACAAGCTAGCTCCTTTCCTGAGTGATTCCCCCAGCAGAAAAGACAAAAATGCACATATATCAGCAGGCAAGGCAGAGTGGATGCCTTCCCCTCCATCTTGGTTCTCGGCTCAGCTTCAGAATCTCGTAACTCCTAAGCAAGGTGGAGTTTAGGCATTACCTTAAACCTAATCTGATTTGATTTGGCCTTAAGGTGCATGTGTGAACCTAGACCAGGGGTAGGCAACCTTGCCTCTTTTATGACTCGTGGACTTCAACTCCCAGAATTCCTGAGCCAGCCCTGCTGAGGGGAAAGGGAGAGGTTTCCAAGCTGAGCCATGCTGGCTCAGGAATTCTGGGAGTTGAAGTCCACGAGTCATAAAAGAGCCAAGGTTGCCTACCCCTGACCTAGCCACTGTGGTTTGCAAGCACTTGATATGGCTTAGTCTTGACTTACATCTTCACTTTGTCACTTTGTTCACTCAACAAAGCGGGCTATAGCACAATGTGTGAGTCAGTAATGCAGAGACTCGGGCGTTCGGTGAAGATTTCTGAAATATTCTTTCATAAAACCAATCTATTATCTCATCCTGAAATGGAATAAGTCTGGCCACCTTTGTTCCCTTGTTCCCCTTGCAGCTAAACTTCTGCAACTCACCCTACACGAGGCTGTCTTTGAAGATTTGGAGCTGCAGCTGGTCTAAAACGATACAGCTGTATTTATATATTGTTTTATACTGTACTTTATTTATACAAGTAGTCCTTGACTTACAGCCGTTCGTTTAGTGACTGTCTGAAGTTACAACGGCACTGAAAAAAGTGACCTATGACCGTTTTTCACACCTGCAACCGTGGCAGCACTCCCGGGCATCCCCACTTGCGCGGGCAGCGGGCAAGCATGTGCACACGTGCTCCATTTGCATGAGCGGCGGGCACACATGCATGCCGCTCGTGCAAATGGAGCTGCGCACACGCACTTGGCAACTGCTCTCACAGAATCATCCCCTCTTCCCCCCCCCCGGGGACCTATTTCAATGAGCAGTTCTCAGAGGAACTACAGTTACTAAATGGATTTGTTCCAACGTTATCGAGAGCCGCAAACAGAATGATTATGGACACGGGTCACGGTTTTGTACGTGTAAATTTACCTAGGCAAGGTGATCCAGACTCAATCTCCACGTTTTTGGTCCCGTCTGGGATTCGCCCATCTTGATCACATTGTGAAGGCTCCGAAGATTCAGGAGTGACGTCTTCAATTAAAGGTCCCAGAGGTTTTGCTTCATGTTCCTTGGTCTTCTCTTGTGGTGCCAGAAGATCTTGGACAATTGGCCCAATGGTTTCTTTGGCACCAGCTTCAGGCACCGTGGGATCTTTCGAAAAAATGGCGTTTAAGACTTCCGAGGTTAGTGAGTTGTCGGAAGCGGTGACGTTTCCTTCGGTGTAGCCTCTCTGGTGGCTGGTTTCAGAAATCACTTCAATTTTGGGAGGGGATATTCGCTGGAGAGATAAAACAAATAGCATACAATGGATTTCTTTCTACAAACATATAGTCCTTGACTTACGACCACAGCTGAGCCCAAACTTTCTGTTGGTTAAAGTTGTGATGGCCGTAAACACAACAAACCCAAATATTTTCCAAATATTTTTTGTGACAGTTGTTAACCTTAGAAGAAGAAAAAAAAAATGACCTTTTTGGTGAAGATGTCTTCCTTCGATGAATCTTCACCGGGGGTATCTATGTCTTCTAAATCAGGAAGTTCCTGAAAAATATCCAAATGTGTATTGAAGAAAAATAGCTTTTCAGGAGAACGTGGTGGGTAGGGAAGGGAAATGTCATGGAACGCATGTTTTCATCCTGGCCCTCCACTTCTTTCCCATCTTTCCCCTCCTGCGGTTAAAACTTACGTCAAGGAAAAGTTTTTCTGGTCCAACCAACATAATGTGTTCAATATCTGCCAAGTCAATGCATTCAGTTCGCAGTGGCCCTTCGGTAGCGAACCTATAAACTGATTGTAAAGAAGGAGACAAAAACCTTCAGCATATCTGGTCCGGGAATCCATTAGCCTCACACCTTTAACCTGGCTGGCTGAGGAATTCTGGGAGTTGAAGTCCACAAGTCTTCAAGCTGCCAAGTTTGAAGATCCCTGCCTTACCTTTTTCAACAGATGTGAGGAGGCCAGCAGCCACGTTCAATTCCGGTTCCTGGGCTTCCTGCTGATGTGGATCTTTCTCTGATCTCCTCAACTGGTCACCCAAGATTTCCTTGGCAGCTATCGCGTCTTTGTGGGCGCCCAGAGTTTCTTTCACAAATTTCTCAATCTTCTGCTTCGTCTCCAGGGGTTCCGAAACCTCTGATGTCTCCACTCCATTTTCTGCCACGGCACCATTGCTTGAAGATGGTAGGGCCTCTAGAACGATCCAGTAACACAGGGGTAGTCAACCTTGGCTCTGTTATGACTGGTGGACTTCAACTCCCAGAATTCCTCAGCCAGCCATGCTGAGGGGAAAGGGAGAGGTTTCCAAGCTGAGCCAGGCTGGCTGAGGAATTCTGGGAGTTGAAGTCCACGAGTCATGAGGGGGCCAAAGTTTTCCCCATGCTGGCTCAGGAATTCTGGGAGTTGAAGTCCATGAGTCACGAAAGGGCCATAGTTCCCCCATGCTGGCTCAGGAATTCTGGGAGTTGAAGTCCACCAGTCATAAAAGAGCCAAGGTTGCCTACCCCTGCTCTAGGCCGCTTTATGACTGGTGGACTTCAACTCCCAGAATTCCTGAGCCAGCCACGCTGAGGGGGGAAGGGAGAGGTTTCCAAGCTGAGCCATGCTGGCTCAGGAATTCTGGGAGTTGAAGTCCACGAGTCATAAAAGAGCCAAGGTTGCCTACCTCTGGCCTAGGCCTAGGCCGCTTTATGACTGGTGGACTTCAACTCCCAGAATTCCTGAGCCAGCCACGCTGAGGGGGGAAGGGAGAGGTTTCCAAGCTGAGCCATGCTGGCTCAGGAATTCTGGGAGTTGAAGTCCACCAGTCATAAAAGAGCCAAGGTTGCCTACCCCTGCAGTAACAGATTTAAAAACAAACCCTGGGCCGGCCAGCAGGCTTCATTCTTGCATTTGTCGGGAAAAATCGCTAATAAACAGAAGGATGCTTTGTCCCGGCTTCTTTAAAGCAAGCCAAGCTGTATATTAAATAGGAACTAAATACGCAAACCCGGCTGAATTAAAACTAGCAACAAATATATTTAAGCAAGAATATTGCAATGTCTTGTGAGCTCGAGTGGTACCATCTGGGGATAATTTGTCAAGGAGAAAACGAGGGTGGCAGCATGAATGTATTGGTGCCACCCAGAGTTACTTTACAAGGGAGATGGGTAGCGTAAAAATGTAAATAAATGGAAACCTGAAGGTGTGGCCTCGGATGCCCCTGCTTAGAAAAGCCACAAACCTCCTTCGTCAACGGAGCCTCTCTCCCTTTCTTCCATCTCCTTCTGTCTTTTCCTCTCTCGGGCTTTTTCTCGAACTGCAGTGAGCGCATCAAGGCTCTCCCGTATCTTCTTCCTTTCTTTCGATTCCCACATGTCCTTTTCTCTTTTTTCAGCTTCACGCCCGCCAGCAGCCCAGGCCTCTGCACAGGCCCTGAAGGGGGAAAGCAGGATTTCCATCAGATACCCGGAGAGAGTGTGTTTCAGCCACCTATAGAACGTAGCTACATGATGCCGAATAACAGAGTTGGAAGGGACCTTGGAGGTCTTCTAGTCCAACCCCCTGCTCGGGCAGGAAACCCTGCACCATTTCAGACAAATGAATGTCCAATCTCTTCTTAAAAACCTCCAGTGTTGGAGCACCCACAACTTCTGGAGCTAATACAAAAAAGCCAATACAATTCTGGGTTCTATAAACAGAGGCATAGAATAAAGATCCCGCGAGGTATTATTACCGCTTTATAAAACCCTAGTGAGACCACATCTGGAATACTGCAGCCAGTTTTGGTCACCATATTACAAAAAAGATGTTGAGAGTTTGGAAAAAATTCAAAGAAGAGCAAGCCTCCATTTGATCTATTGTTTTTGATTTGTTTCTTAATTCTTTTTCTTGGAAACCACATCCCAAATATTTTAGCCTCCAGCCCTCTGATTATCTTTGCTGCTCTTTTCTGCACTCTTTCCAGAGTCTCAACATCTTTTTTATAATATAAGGGTGACCAAACCTGCGTGCAGTGCAGAAGAGAGGCTTCTTGGCCTGCTATGCTACCATCGCTCGTGTTATAGGAACTATCCCTATATTACCTGCATGCAAGGAGGTCTAACGGTGTGCTGCCTCTTTGGAGGAAAAGTGTATCTCCAGGTGCACCAGAAAAAAGAGTTTATCTAGGGGCTGTTATGTATGAAAAAGTCCTTTTTGTTTAGCTTCAGGGGTTTGGGGCACTGAATTTTCTAAAAATTCCTTTGTTATCACTTGATATGCAAATATGAACTGTATCTGTAGTTAGAACTAAATATTTATGAATCTTTTACTAGCGGGGCCAAGAAAACAATAATCTCCTTGCATATTTTACCTCTCCTTTGGAAAAACTGGTCTGTCGTCCAGATACGTCAGTTGTTTTAATCGGATAGTAAGTGTCCTCCTATAGTTAACTATTTTCTTAATGACTTCATTTCCCATTAGGTTCAACACACGCTGTAGAAGAAAACTGGCAGTTTTAGGAAACCATCGAATACACTTTGAGAAGTTAACTTTCAGTGACTTATTCTTACGCATTTGTCTCATTTATTTTTATGCATTTCATGCCTTTCCTAGCCATGTTATGAATGCATAATGTGCAGCTCTCAATCCCTTACTGTATATAATGTAATCCCATAGCTTGCCCTGTTTATACATACTTTTTTTATCCCATTCTTTGAAAAGCTTCACCTCTAGACATAAAAGTGAAGTCCAGCAACCAAAAATAAGACCATGTTAGCATGGGGAGATGTATCATGCGTGGGCCTGCCTCTGAAAGCATTTGGGGAACTAGCAAATTATTAAACCAGCAAGTGAAGGTCACTATCTTGAATGCTGCATGAGCAAGTTGAGCCAGCTTGGGAGGGCAGCTTTTAGTTTGTTGGGCAGGGGTCATCAAACTTGGCAACTTTCAGACGTGTGGACTTCAACTCCCAGAATTCCCCCTGCACTACAGAACGGTTAATGAAAATAAGACCATACAAAGGAAGCTCCAGGTCAATCCCTCCCTCATCCCACCCCCCACAATTATCCTTGGCCTCCTAACCTTGTGCTTTGTCCATCAAAGCAGCTCCCAAACTTTTCTGTACCCCGCACCCCTAGAACGCTTCTGATATGTTCTCGCACCCCTTACAAAAGTTCGAAATAACGGCAACGAATTATGCATATATACTATAATTTTGAAAACCCGAGTTTTCGCACCCCCTGGAATATCGTCTCGCACCCCCGGTTGGGAACCCTTGATCTAGAGCATGCTGGCTGGGGAAAGGGCTGCATATTTGCTTACCAAATCAGGCATGGTTTCCAGGATCTCTAAAATATGAGGATCATCCAGCTTATTGTGAGAGAGATCAAGTACGCAAATACTCGGGCATTCCTGCAAGTGCTGTATGTCTTCCACTGTTTGTAACATATTGTGAGCAATTTGCAGGGTGTGAAGAACTTTCAAAGAAGCTGTTGAAAAATAACAGTAGTTAGATGAAAATGCCCCTAGAGAATTTCTTCTGCAAACTGTCTGTAATGATCCTTGTGGCTGGGTTTTCTTTGCTCTTAGTAGCCTTGTATAGCCTTGCAGTTGTTAGAAAAATACTAACCATCCTGAGGTCTTGTATTCCAAGTTAATTTATATTAGAGCAAGGATAACACTCACGACTGCCAGTTTTAGACACCAGGGCAAGATAGTCAATTGAAGCACAAAAGAAATATGTAATGTGCATTGTGGCTATTTTTTAATAGAAAAAAAAAACTGTACTCAGGGTTGAACCGTGGGTCTTGCTGGCTGGGATTGAAGTCCAGCTCTCTTACAGGGACCAAGGTTGGAAACAATGGCTTTGTTTATCGAGTGAATGTAGAAACTGGAATTTGCAGGACGTAGTTAATGGCTTAGTATGTTAGGGGAAGCCAGCCAATTGTGGTTGTTTTCAAAAAGTGAAGTCAAACCATTACTGTGATGTGGGATTCAGCTCATGGTCTACGTTTAAAAAAGGGCAATTTAGATTATCTGCTGAGGAAACAGAAGGGGTGCATCAAACATCACATATTAGGTGCTTGAATTTACAAAGGCTATCAGAAACTATTGTGGCTGTTTTGCTCTGTTTTAGCACCTAGCCTGCCTATCTATCTAATCTATCTATCTATCTATCTATCTATCTATCTATCTATCTATCTATCTATCTATCTATCTATCTATCTATCTATCTATCTATCTATCTAACTATCAATCAATCATCTGTCTGTCTGTCTGTCTGTCTGTCTGTCTGTCTGTCTGTCTGTCTGTCTATCTATCTATCTATCTATCTATCTATCTATCTATCTATCTATCTATCTATCTATCTATCTATCTATCTATCCCTGACAATTCCAATGCAAAATTATACCATGTTCAAATAACAAGTCTTATTTCCTCAAAAACAGAGATGCTTACAGAGATTTTCAATGGTCTTTACGTAATTGTTGCTGAGGTTGAGAGAATCCAGTTTTTGCAAAGGTTCCAGGTTCTCAATTTTGTGGATCAAATTGAGTTGCAGATAAAGGCAACGCAGGTCTGTCTGCGCAGTCAGGTTCTCAATCTTTGTCAGGCCGTTGCATTCCAGCCATAGGCACCTTAAGCCGGTATACTCTTCCAAGTTCTCCAAACGATCAAATCCTGCAAGAATTGAAAGGCAGAGAGAACGTTAAAAAATGCTCTTTGTGAACAGAACGGATGAACGGCTAGCATGTTAGGATGGGTGAGCTGCAATGCAGCCCTCATTTGATCAGAAACCCTTCAGCTTTCCCCAAAGATTGTTTTCCCTCAAATTCCCCCATGTAAGGTTTAGGAAAGACTTCATAACGAGGGTTAAGGTTTTCTTCTCCAAGCTTGTGGGTTGGCTTCCAATTACCAGACTAGCTAATATCTTCAGTGGAGTTTAGGGGACATCATAACACAGCAAGTATTGTACATGTGGCATTACTTCAAGGCTTCCTTCCTTCCTTCCTTCCTTCCTTCCTTCCTTCCTTCCTTCCTTCCTTCCTTCCTTCCTTCCTTCTCTGCATATGTATTATTCTACTTGCTCACAATTTTTTTTTTAAATGCCCAATTATTTAAATGTACTGTAGTTTCCAGCATTTGGCTTCTCACCTTTGTAATGGAGATAGAGGGTGTCATTCAAGCTTGGGGTCACATATAACTTGTGTTGTTTGCAGAGGTCCCTCAACAGTTTTTTGGTCATTCTAAAATATTAACAAGAAGTGTGAATCCTAGGATTATTCAGAAGACAGTATAGCTTTGTTAGCCAGGAGCAGTGCACAGATGTATTTAAAATTCACTACTTGCCAATGGCACAGTGTTAAAACTTAAATTTTGCTAAAAGCCTGCATCAAAAACTTGATTTAATTCTGGCCAGGGCCAGCAAAGATATAACACTTTATCATGGTTCATTCTAACAAGTAAAATAACTGACGGAGGAAACTGTGATCAGGCTTTTGCCTCTCAACTATCCTTAATATCAATTTTTTGTTTTTCTCTTAAAAAGAGAATACCTATTACAAAAATTACTTACCTCAAGCCACATTTGTTTAATTCTGATTGTCCAGAGGGTGAATCAGTTACTGGCTTATGATTATTATTTGTCTTAATAGTCTGTTGATCCGGGTCACTCCCAGAATTATCTCTTTTCGGTGGTGCTTGAACATTAAACATGACAAGTAAACACGCTTCAGAATTAAACATTCTTCAGATTCGAATGATTCAGTTTTACAATGAAAACTAAAATTCAGTCTAGAATCCAAAGATGGTAGAAAGCAAAGATGGTAAAACATACGGTACGTAGGATAATGTAATTGGTATATCATCCTGAATTTCTTGGTGAAAAGTGACGTGAACATACTTTCATTTTTTTTTAAAGAACGTACAGTACATTGCGTCAGGCTATCTCCTGTTCTTGCTATATAAATGCAGTTTCTGTTTTTTAGTAGGAGCCAGATGTGTAGAAATTAAGTAGGAAAGAATCTGCATTGCATACCAGCTGTATGTTCATGCAAATCAATCTGAGTTTTTACATTATCTAGAGACTGTGACTGTGCATGCAATCAGACTATGCCATAATGCACCTTATTCCTTACAACATGTGGTTTAGTCAACAAAACTTGGTTAAACATGTGTGATATATCTAACATGGGGGAGCAGTGGCTAAGGGTTTAAAGACGCCCACCAAGCAATTCAAAAGCATGCAAACGCGAGTAGATTAATAGGTACCACTTTAGTGGGAAGGAACAGTGTTCTGTATTCCTTGGCAGATAGTCATGCTGGCCAAATGGCCACAGAAATGTCTTCAGACAACGCTGGCTCCCTTGGCTAAGAAATGCCGATAAACACTGCCCCTAGAGTTGGAAATGACTGGATATAGGGGAAACCTTTACCTTTATACCTAACATAGGAACCCAGCCTAGATTTGTCAAGTCTTGGGAACCAAAAGGGGAAGGCTGCTATATTGTGCTAGCCATGGTAGAAAACAGAATACCGGACCAATCTTACCTCTTAAAAGTGCTTGTTAGGTTGTAATGGAACAGACTGAACAAGAACGAATGGAAGAAATTACCTGGTTCTCCGTTGCTATACTCAACATCATCAGTTTTCAGTTTTTGATGCTCACAGCTAATGGCCCTTTCTACCCCTTCCTCTCCTTCAGGCAGTTGAGGCTTTTCTTCTAAGAGTTGGAGAGACAGAGACAGAGTCAGCGAAGTGCAGGTGTGGAATTATGCTGGCATCACTATAAAAGAGCTGAGTGCCCCAGAATATTTTTGAGGCTGCTTCGCATCAGGTGAGTCAATTTCCGTAGGAATCAAGACTCATGCAATAATGCAGGTCTGCATTAGCTGCCTGTGAGGCTATTGCCTCTTAGAGCATGAATTGAAGGAACTTTTAAAAAATGAACTTGCAAACAAGAACTGAAAAGGAGCCTGAAATGGCTAGAAAATGGGGGAAAAAACTGGGTCAAGCAGTTATATTTTGTTCACTTCTCCATGCTTCTATGACTGAGAAATAAAGCAAGGGGCATGTTTATGGTACAGGTTGTTTTTAAATTACAACCAGTCACTTTATGACCGTTTGAAGTTCGAACAGCCTCAGAATGGGCGCTTTATAGTCTGCAAAGAACTTCAAAGATGTGGTGTCGCATAGTAAGCCAGGGAGAAGTAAACTAAATTATAGCTGATCATATGTAAATAAGACTCAATCATTCAGGCCAAAAGTATCTAGAATGATTAAATCGTGGCAACTGGTCCAAAGTTTATTAAAACCTGAGATGTTTTGCTACTCATCCAGGTAAATTCTTCAGTCAAAATGGAATTTTTTTTGAGCTATAGCTTATCATGCATCACTAAAGTTATTTTAGCACCTCTAGTAGCTTTTTAGGTGCTTTAGGAACCAATTGTAATGAAATAGGAAGCAATTAGAGAGCAACATTTCAGACAACAATGATTGCAAGTTAGCCAATATACTTTATCAATACTTCATGGTCAAAACTAGCATTTATATCCCCTCTTTTCTTGGATCCGCTACCTGCTTTAATTAAGCCGTCCCCATTGCTAGAAGGGCTGCCTTCCTGCTCACAGTTTTTTATTTCTTGGTCATTTCCCTCTGTTGCAACAGCCTCTCCTAATCCAGATTTTTCACTGGGTGGGTGCATCTTCAAATTTGTCACCTAGAACAGAAGACCAGGCATTTATAATAGGCTTTACGGGTAGTCCTCAACTTACAACATTTTGTTTCGTGACTGTTCGAAGTTAAAAAGCAGTGAAAAAGGTGACTTATGACCGTTGCAGCATCCCCAGGGTCACATGATCAAAATTCAGAGGCTTGGCAACTGACTCGTATTTATGACGGTCGCAGCGTCACGCGGTCCCCCTTTTGCAACCTTTTGACGAGCAAAGTCAATGGGGAAGCCGGGTTCACTTTACAACCGGGTTACTAACTTAACAACTGCAAGTGATTCACTTAACAAACGTGACAAAAAAAGATTGTAAAAGATTGCAAAACTTACTTACCAGTCTCTTTTAGCAACATAAATTTGGGGCTCAACTGTAGTCGTAAGCCAAGGACTATTTTATATTGTTCTGTCGTGCATTCAACGCCTTGAAGCACAGTTTTAAATTACAGTTCACTTCACAGTATTTTGCTCTATAAGCGTGAGCAAGTGTGCTCTGAAAAAACTATTTTAGTAAAAACTATGAATAAAGATGTCTTCTATTTAGAGTTCTGCTGGAAGGAAGACTGGCACAAAACCTCTCATCCAGAGTGGATTTAAGCTTCTGAGTCAGGGAACACCCGTGTCTTGTCAATATTCAATATTTATTGTGATTTTTATTATTGCCTGTTCACCGCCCTGAGTCCTGTAAGGAAGATAGGGCGGTATATAAATTTAAATAGTAAATAAATTAATAAATAAATAAATTCAGCGATGGTTGCACAGCTGTTGCATTTATACTTCTGTGAATGAATGTTAGCATTCTGGAGCACTCAAACCACCACAATTTTTCATGATTAATACATTTTATACAGGTAGTCCTCGGCTTAACGACCACAACTGACCCCGAAATTTCTGTTGTTAAGGGAGACACTGAAGTGAATCCTGCCCCATTTTGCAACCTTTCTTGCCACCGGTTGTTAAGTGAGTCGCTGCAGTTGGTAAGCTAGTAACACGGCTGTGAAGTGAATCCGGCTTCCCCCACTGATTCTGTTTGTCAGCAGGTCGCAAAAGGGGGATCACGCAAGCCCCGGGGTCACTGCGACCGTCATAACTACGAGTCAATTGCCAGCTGTCCTGAATTTTGATCACGTGACCATGGGGGGGAGGGGGAAATGCAGCGATGGTCATAAGTACGAATCGATTGCCAAGCAGCTGATTTTGATCACGTGATCGCGGGGAGGCTACACAAGTGGCGTGAAGAACAGTCACGGGTCACTTTTTTTTCAGTGCCGTCGAAACTCGGAGCGGTCACTAAACGAGCCGTCGTAAGTCGAGAACCACCAATATTCAACTCGTGATCGGTTACAGTGTGTGAAGGCTACTGATAACCATGCGCCCCCGCCGCCTCACTCTCTCCTCAGCGGGCCCCGCTTCCTCCCGCAGCGAGAAGCGGAGAGCGACCCTTCGCCTCCGGCCGCCGCCGCCGCCGCCTTTCCCGGCTCCAACGGCTCTCTCGGCCAACGGCTTCCCCGTTGCCCTGGCGACGACGCACCACGCACGCCTCCGCGCACGCGCCCCCAGGCCAGCTGTCTCTCTCGCTAAGCCCCGCCTCCCTTTCCGATTGGCGATGCCGGATGTCTCTTGCTTCCAGTCGCGGGCGCTCCAAAACCGAGACAATAGAGGTACGAAAAGGGAAGATTCGCGTCGCGCGGTTTCAAAACCATATTGCGGGTTCACGTATCGGAAAGCAAATCAGCAAACCTCAGGGGAAAAGAGCAAGATTTATGATCGTCAGGATGGCCAAGCCTTTCTCCCTAATTTGAATTGTAAAAGAAAAACTTTCCAGATTGTTCTAACGGAAGGACTTCTTCTCACGAGGAGTGTAGTGTAACTCTCTCACTGAACCAGATATAAATCTCCTGGAAGATAGGTATAGTAGCGTCGCTGTAAATGGCTAAAGCCCCTCCTCCAAAGTAATTCTTGACAGTATTCGATTGTTTAATATATTTAAATGTTTTTTTTAAAAAGAGTCACCCCAGGAAAAGCGTCTTTAAATTCTGTGCTGATTTTTATTACACCGCGTTCAGGACCTGGGAGCTGGACATTTGGAGGAGGAGAAAGGGTCCTAAGGTTACATGGAAAAAATGGCTTGTGCATCCTACGGAATTGGATTCAGGAACCATTACATTAGCCGGCCCCTTTCCAAACTCCACCTTCCGAGTTTTTCTGCTAGCTAGAAGGCAACCTAGGCTAAAAGAAAGGGGTTTGGATTTGGATTAGGGGGAAGTTGCAACCTTGCAGATGTTATATTGTGATGCAAAGGCTACCTGCATCAGAGAACACCTGGTAAGATTAAATCAGAGGAAAAAAATATGGGGGATTTGCCGTTTTGTCTCTTTGCTTTTTAAAAGCAACGACCGATGAGTCTGGCTATTTCTGCACCCTATTTAGCTGCCTATCTGAGATGGGAGGCTATACAAATACGATTAATCAATAGATTATTTTTTTTAAAAAAAATCATGTTTGCCAGGTCGGAGTAGAATAGTGATGCCTGCTGCAATTTGAAAATCTCAATTTCTGGGTGATGTCTGAACCCCCGAGGATTAAAAGCAAAAATGCATGGTTTAAAAATAATTATGGGTGTGGTGTTCTTGCTGTAAAACCCAATGGCCACTGAATGGAGTGAGTCTGATTTTTGAATATATGGAGCTGAATCAGCCAGGTTTAGCTTGATTCAGCGGTGGGAAAGATGGGGAGGGCCAGGCTGGAAAGTTCAGTTGAGGGGGGAAAAAACCAACCCCTTTTGAAGAGATTCTATCTTAATTGGCTTGCCCTTAATCTGCCTAGGAATTTGTTCTTGCTGTTCTCTAGATGATGCTTATGCCATGCCTTGCAATAACGGTGTGTCTTTAAAATCGATGTGGTTTGTCTATGGAGGTTCTCGGTCATCCAGGTCCTGGTTGTCCCAAAGGGGCTTTTTTTTCAAGCAGCAACTGGACTTTCTTGTTTTTCTTTGAAGATGTTTCGCTTCTCATCCAAGAAGCTTCTTCAGCTCTGACTGGATGGTGGGGAATGGAAGGATTTATATGCTTGTTGAAAGCTGGCTGTGTGTCCAATTACTCTTAGCCAATAAAAAATTCTATTCTGTTCTGTTCTATTCTACCCATTCCATTCTATTTTCTATTCTAATTCTGTTCTATTCTATTTTCAAATGGACATCACGTGACCCTGGGATAGTGCAACTATCCTAAATATATGCCAGTTGCCAAGAGCCCAAATCTGGATCCTGTGACTGTGGAGATCCTGCCACAATGGTTAAGCGTGAGGACTGGTTATAAGTCACTATTTTTCAGTGTCATCGTAACTTGGTTGCTAAGCGAGTGATTGTGAGTTGAGGACTCCCTGCACCTCACATGAATTCATCCTCACTGATATCTCTCGTATTTTTTCCCCCCTTTCAAGATACCTGGTTGCTATGGCTGCGGTGGACAGCTTCTCCCTGTTGATGCAGGAGATCGGACGGTCCTACCATTACTGTGTAGAGATGTTGGCGGTTGTGGGCGCTTTCTACGCAAGCAAGGTGTGCGTCACGGTTTTGAGTGACACCTACGTGCTGATCAGGGTGCATTTTGTTCCACGGATCTTTGGCCGGCCTGACTTAAGCAAGCGATATGGAAAATGGGCTGTGGTCACAGGTAAGGAACGCCCGATGGCTTTACATGCCATCTCTCCATCGGAGTTAAAAGGATGTACAAGAGTCCTGGTGTTAATCTACAACTAGGCCTCTGCTTTCAGATTTTCCACTCTGCGTAGGTACAGGCTAGTGCAGGGGTAGGCAACCGTGACTCTTTGATGACGCGTGGACTTCAACTCCCAGAATTCCTGAGCCAGCCACGCTGAGGGGAAAAGGAGAGGTTTCCAAGCTCAGCCATGCTGGCTCAGGAATTCTGGGAGTTGAAGTCCACATGTCATAAAAGAGCCAACGTTGCCTATCCCTGGGCTAGTGTTTCTCAACCTGGGTGACTTTAAGACTTGTGGACTTCAATTCCCAGAATTTCCAGGCAGCTAAGCTAACCATTAGCTGCTGGAGGCACTGGAGTCATTGGCTGAAATACTCTGATGTCACAGAAGGATACTGGACATTCCAAGTACAGGAAGTCCTCAACTTACAACCACTTGTTTAGTGACCATTTGAAGTTACAACTTTGGCACTGAAAAAAGCATCCCTAATCTGGATGCTTGGCAACCGGTTCATATTTATGTCGGTTTCAGTGTCCTGGGGTCATGTGATCCTGACAGGCAAAGTCAAAGGGGAAGCCGGATTCACTTTACAACGGCGTTACTAATTTAAGAATTGCAGCGATTCGCTTAACAACTCTGGGAAGAAAGGTTGTAAAATGGGGGCAAAATTGTTTTAACAACTGTCTCACTTAGCAGCAGAAATTTTGGGCTCAGCTCTGTTGTAGCTGAAATGTGGAATGCCAGAAAAAGGCTGGCTGGGGAATTCTGGGAATTGAAGTCTTCCAAGTTGCCAGGGTTGAAAAACACTGGTAGATGTTGGTTGGTTTGGGTTATCGATTGATCCTTCTTGGCAAGAGGATCTCCTGTCTCCTCCTCTGCCTTCTGCCTCCTTTTCTTTGCTGGGTTGACTCTGCGGCCCATGAGCCTCTGCTTCCTTGCAGGAGGAACCTCAGGCATCGGCCTTTCCTACGCCAGAGAGTTGGCCAATTATGGAGTCGACCTCATCATGATTAGCCGGAACCGGGAAGAATTAGAAGCTGCCGCTAAAGAGATCGTGGAGACTTACAACATCAGCACCTTGACGGTCGTAACGGATTTTAGCAAGGGCCGTGAGGCCTATCCGGTCATCAAGAAGGCTCTGGAAGGCAAAGAGATTGGCGTCTTAGTGAACAACGTTGGGGTGCTCAGCCCTCTGCCCGATTCCTTCACCAGTTTGACAGAGTCTCAGGTTTGGGAGTTCATCAATGTAAATATTGGAGCTGCCAACATGATGGCACACTTGGTGTTGCCGGGCATGGTGCAGAGGAAGAAGGGGGCCATTGTCAACGTTTCTTCTCTCAGCTGCTGCAATCCCTGTCCCCGGTACACAGCGTATTCGGCCTCCAAGGTATATGTCGACAGGGGAAAAGGATGTCTGTGGGTGTTGATTTCCTAACCGGACTGAGGAGGGCACATGAGGTGGTTGCTCCCTCATCTTATCCTTTTAGTACAATTTGCCTATCAAGTCGGTACTAAAAGGAGAGCAATCGTAGGAGAAGAGAAGGCAGAGCTGGTGAGGGTGGAGTTAAGCATGTCAGCAGCCTAGAGTCGTTACGTTCCACAAATGGTCTAGGGGAGTCAAGCTGTGTTCCACCCTCACCCTTGGCCCCCTCCTATATGGTCTAAACTCAGAGTTTCATTTCTTTCCTCCCCATCCTTTATTCTCCGCAGACTTACCTGGATCACTTCAGCAGATCACTTCACTATGAATATGCCTCCCAGGGCATTTTCATTCAGAGCTTAATTCCGTTCTTCGTTTGCACCAACGTGACAACGCTAAGTAGCACCCTCTCCAAAATGAGCTTTTTTGTGCCTTCGCCTGATGAGTATGTCCGTCACGCAGTCACCACCCTCGGTGTCTCCCGAAGAACGACAGGATACTGGCCACATACGCTCCTGGTAAGAATGCTTTTTTCCATAGCTTCTTTACATTTTGTCTTCCCGTCGCCAGAAATAGCCGATCCAAGATTGGGCAGGAGTTTAAAACGTGAGCTAAGCAGCTTTTTCTTACACGAGATTCCCTGAGAGATTGGAAAAAATAAAAATAACCCAGCACGTTTTGAACTTAGCCCACACCACACAATGTTAGCTAGCCTTTGTGTTGCCGGGAATTTGTACCCACCCCCAACTCAACTGCCAGCCTGTTGCTTTATATTGCAGCAAAATGTGGATTGTGTAAGTTAGAGATGAATTGCATTGTGAAGTTTTTGTATGTGTTGCCATATTTATGCAAGGGTTTCCTGAAGAAATGTTCCATTTTCCAACTGTTAGGAAATTCCTCCTTAGTTCTAGATTGCTTCTCTCTTTGATCAGTTTTTATCCATTGCTTCTTGTCCTGCCTTCAGGCACTTTGGAGAATAGGTTGACCCCCTCTTCTTTGTGGCAGCCCTTCAAATATTGGAAGACCGCTATCAGGTCAACCCTAGTCTTTCTCTTTGTTAAACTAAACATTCCCAGTTTCTGCAACTGTTCTTCATATGTTTAAGCCTTTAGTTGCTTAGGTCTTGCTTTATTTTACTGTTCAAGGTCTATAAAAGTTTCTACCTTTTCCTTTTGAAAAATAAGGAATAGGAAAATGTGGAATGGAGACAAATTCTGAACCATTTTGGATTTTAATTTATTTGACTATGGTAAACAGAATTATTGTTAACACTTTAGTTGTAGAAGAAGTTGTCTTATGAATTCTTTTGTGTGAAAACAAAAGCCCTTCTTTTATCTTACAGATGATTTTAGCAAGGTTTGTCCCTGAATGGTTCTGGGCTTGGCTGGTACCCAGAATAAAATACTGCCAGAAGTCACTTTGAAAAAAATGTCTGTGAAGATCTTGCCTTGAGCACCAATAACATCTTGAAGTTTAGACTGACTGTAGCTACAAAATCCTGACTTCTTCACACGGATTCTTTTCTGCTTGCATTATTTGTTTGAAATCATGTATTTGAGACTTGAAGGAAGTTTAGCTTGGACGTAGCTGAAAGAAGACACTTGAAACAAACTTTTAGTAAGCTGGCATAATATTCTCCAGCCTGAGGCATCACTTATGTAGAATTCTTCATGGTTCCTCAGTAAAAGACGCAAGAAACCTGTCTGGATGATGGAGCAATTGAATTGTTGAAGAACTTGGGTTCCAGAAGAGCAAAAAGAAAAAAATATCTGCCAATAGGGCATTGTAGATCAACTTTCTCCAACACTCATCAACCCCAATTGAATTATCTCTGATGGAAGTTTGATGCAACATTACCCTTGAAGGTACCCCAAGATATAACTGTTCAACAGAGATGTCCTTCTTCAAATCAGTGCAGTCTTGTGCTGTATCAGGATGTTGTTGAATGTATGATGTCTACAACCATCCTTCGGAGTGGACAGTGCTGTGATAGATGTTAGGATCTCAACTGACATGGCTGTCTCATGGGGATGTTGGAGATAGGGTGGCCCAGAGTCCTTGACTTTTCAGCCTCACAACCAATTTCCCAAACTGCCTTGCTCCAGAGGTATTAGATTCCTTCTCTTCTTATCCTATGCCAGCCTAGTAATCCTGCTGGCTGGGAGGGAAGAGAGTGGTCCTCCAGTGTATCTAAAGTGGGTTAATTGACCAGTTGTAGGAGGCTCCTGAACAATTTGACTTGAGCAACAATTAGGCTTAATTTCTGTGAAATATGGGTCTTCCCCCCAGGCAGGGTGGCTGATGAACTGCTGGTGGCGTCTTTTGAATTCAATGTGATTTCAGAGGAATCAGGGCACGGTAATTTTCAGATCCTGAGGTAAGACAGGTAACCAAAGTGGAGGGAGCCCCTAACTCCGCTTTTTGTATCCTTAGAGACTATCGAACAAGGATTGGTAAAAACAAACAGCTCTGTTTCCCAACATTTTGGAGACAGGAGATACAGGAATGAAAACTGTAGAGTGATATAAAAGTAAAGCAGTTAATAAGTGCCGTAAACAGGGCTAGCAGCCGTAGACCTGGTTGGTGTACCCTGTTTAGCCCTGATTTGTGAACCATGGTTTGGTGAGTAAACCCACTTGCATGGGATCACACAGCATCAAAAGCCATAAACCATGGGGGACGAACTCTTTACTTAATATTCTAAAACAAAGGCAAATATGCCACATTATGGGCTGGTTATTAGACGAACAACTAGCTCTCAAGATTTTGAGTGATCTAGCCCTATGAATAAATTCATACTTCCCCCCCTTTCAACTAGCAATTTGCTGGCTGTGCAAAGCTATTTAAAAAGATAAGTCAGATGTTACTTAGTACTTTCTACCATATATTATACCTGGAGTTATAGTCATGATATCAAACTGAAGTGGATCATCTTTTTTTCTTTTAGAGTCTTAGCCACAACGTCAAGTGGCTTGAACTGATGTGTGTTTGCTCTAGTAAAGGCTTACTCGTAAGGAAATATTTGTGGTTCTTGTTTATATATATATATATATATATATATATAAACTGTATTCTGTTTCCATTAGGACTGGCAATCACAACAGCTAATAGAAATAAAATAGGCGCTAAACCATAGAGTTTAAAACATAGCAACAGAGTAGTTAAGAATACAAAAGAGAAAATATACAATAAATGAATTTACATGGCAGAAAGATGTATGAATACAAATGTTTTCTGCATTTTGGACAGAAGGGCAAAATACAGAACAATTTTAATATTTAAATATCTAACACTCCTGAGCATCTTTATTCTGGACAAAATAAATGCTCGTAGAGTACAGTAGAGGAGAATAGAGTAGAACAGGAAGAACAATAAAATCATAGGGCTGAAAGGGACCTTGGAGGCCGTCTAGTCCAACCCCCTGCTCAAGCAGGAGACCCTATAACATTTCAGGTAAATAATTGTCCAATTTCGTCTTAAAAACTCCTAGTGCAATAATACGCATCTTGCTGGTATAAATGTTTATTATATAGATCCAGAATAATCATATAGAATAACAGGTCACATGGCAGAGCATAAATTCCAATATTCACAGCTGCTGCGGGGAAATTCATATATAACTAAACTTAGCTTTTTATCAAGTTGGATACTATGCATTTAAGGGGCTTCCAACTTGCAATTCCTATTCTTCACAGCAACGCCGCTGAAACGTGCTGGGAGTTGTAGTCCACACCAAAGGGGCGTCCCGGTTTGGGGACGGCTGCCGGGAGCCCCCGACTTGCCTTTCAAGACTACACGACCCACAAGGCCTAGCGGCGTCCGCGGGCCGGCCGCCCTGGGGCACGCGCAGCACTCTCTGAAAAGGCTCACGCGGCCACCGTCCGTTGGCTCGAACGCAACTCCGCCTGCGCTCTGGGAAATGTAGTTCCTGCGGCCGGCCAGTTCTTCGTGGGGGGAACGGCGCCAGGACTACCCGTCCCAGAAGGCGCCGCGCTTCGCCGTCGCCCGTTTTTTCATGGAAGGAGTTTCTCCGACGCTGCTGGGACCGAGCTGAGGGGAACCGCGCTCGCCCCGGAGCTCGTCGCGCGAAGCCTGAGGCCCCGAAGCGCTGAGGCGGCGGTGAGTCGGAGCGGGCCACGGGGAGGGAGCGGGCCTGCCCTTCAGGCCCCGCTTGGACTTCGCGGCCCGGTTCCGCTCGGCCGGCGGTTGCGGGGGTCCCCCGTCAGGACTTCGGAAGGGGGCCGGGACTGCAGGTTCGTCCTCGACTTACGACCGGAATTTCTGTGGCTCCGTGAAACGTTTCGCTGAGTTTTGCCCCGTTTTACGACCGCTTTCCTGGCCGCGGTTGTTAAGTTAGTCCCGCGGTCGTTAAGTGAACGGGAAGATTGCAAAAGGGGAATTGCCTGACCCCCCCCCCGGGACACTGCGACCGTCGTAAGTACGAGTCAGTTGCCAGGCGGATGTTGATCACGTGACCAGGGGGGGAAAAAAATGCTGCAACGGTCGTTAAGTGTGAATGACGGTCATGAGCAGGTAGGGTTGCCAGGTCTGCTTCCAAAAATTAGCGGACAAGCGGGGGGGGGGGGTTAAGTAGTAAAAAAAAGTAGACTGTACAGCTTTAGATTACATACCATTTCATCCTAAAGCTTTTGAATAATAAAAAAATGTCCACTATTTTGTGGAAAAAAATAGTGAACATAATGTGAAAAAAGTGGACTGTCCACTCAAATAGTGGACACCTGGCAACCCTAAAAGTTGCTAAGTTTGAAGACTCCTGGTTTAGTGGAAGCGGGGAAACATAGGATCAAATACCCACTTAGCAGCTCAATAACTATGCTGGAATACCTGGAGGTAAATACCTGGAGCAAAGCTGGCTGAGGAATTCTGGGAGTTGAAGTCCATATCTTTTCAAGTTGCCAAGGTTGAGAAATAGGGTTGCCAGGTCTGCTTCCAAAAAATAGCGGACAAGCGGGGGGTGGGGGTTTTAAGTAGTTAAAAAAAAGTAGACTACAGCTTTAGATTACGTACCATTTCATCCTAAAGCTTTTGAATAAAAAAAAATGTCCACTATTTTGTGAAAAAAAATAGTGAACATAATGTGAAAAAAGTGGACTGTCCACTCAAATAGCGGACACCTGGCAACCCTATGAGCAAGGGGGGGTCTTCAAACTCGGCCCTTTTAGGACTCGTGGACTTCAACTCCCAGAATTCCTCAGCCAGCTTGTCTGGCTGAGGAATTCTGGGAGTTGAAGTCCACGAGTCCTAAAAGGGCCAAGTTTGAAGACCTCCTGGTATGGAAAACAGAAGAAAGTTAAAACAGAGGCATAGTTTACTTACAAAGTATGTAAATGCAAGTTGCATAACCACCTCGTAAGAAAAACTTATGCCTTTCTTTTATGTCTGTGAAGCTGCACCCGGTGACTGAAGGAATGCCATTATTGTTCTTATTGTACAAAAGAGACGATAACGAAGGTGAAGTTAAGGGAATCGGTTTGTCAAATGTATTAAGACAACTGGCAAAATTTGGACGGGGAGGGCGTGAAAAAGTAAAAACATTTGCAGTGCACCTTTACAGATGTTTGTCTTTGAGCAAGTCCTGGAGAAAAAGCTTACTGCAAGATTTGATGATTTAGAGCAGGGGGTCTTCAAACTTGGGCCCTTTTATGACTCCTGGACTTCAACTCCCAGAATTCCCCAGCCAGCTTTGTCCACAAGTCCTAAAAGGGCCAAGTTTGAAGACCCCTGCTCATGAGCGACTTAGGAAATAGAACAAGGTTACGTTCAAATAGATAAAATACGTACTTTTGGATATTAGGTTTTGTTATGAATTGAGACAAGGGAAATCTTGGTTACCTAAGGTTTGAAAATGATAAACGTGAAAGGTTACATTGGAATATTGGTGAGAAATTAAAAATTGGGTAAAAATTAATAACAGGATATGGATTGTTTATGAAGATTGAATGTAATTAAGATACGTATAAGCTAAAAATGTATTGATAAATGTTATAGTGATGTTTTTATTGAGTTGATATAATAAGAACTGTACTAGCTTGAATACGAGACAATGAATGTTAAGGGAAAAAGAGAAGAAATACTTTATGTTGCAACTTGAGATTTGTACTAAGGATTTTGTTATCAAACTATTGATTAGCCCAGTCACCACGTTGCTTTTTAAATAAATGTAGAATTGGAAAATTAATAAAATATTATTTAAAAAAAAGGGACCAAGTTTGAAGACCCCTGATTTAGAGCAAGCATGTCATAAACTGAACTGGCCTGGGTCCCGCCAGATGGGACCCACAACCTTCCTTGCCTCCTCACTCTAGTGGGTGGAGTGGGTGTAGATGTCTTATAATCCTACTTTTTATTTCTGCTCTTTTTGTGGGATGGTAGGCTGGACTGTAGACTTGGCTTCTTGGCTATTGTTTACCACTTTCCTTTCCTCTAACCTCTCCTTGTTAGTGAACCTATTTTTGACATCACCTTTGGCCCGTCCTGCTAAGTTGCATATTTCACTGGCAAGATTTATGCAGCCACTGTGTAAATAGCTTCAAGCCAGTTTCTGAGTCACCTGTCCAAAGTAAATAAGTTATAGCTATTTGAAGCTCTTTTCCGTTGAGAATATCCTGATCTAATTCCTGTAGTACTTCTTATCCAGTTCAGGTGAAAAAGCACGTTGCAGCTGCTTCAATACAGGTAGTTCTCAACTTACAAACATTCGCGGCAAATATCTGATGCTCGGGTGTAGGATGAGGGCGACGGTTCATTCTCCGAGCTTGTGGGTTGGTTTCCGAGCCTTTCGTTACCAGGCTAGGTAACATCTTCAGGATAGTTTAGGGCATGGGTGTCAAACTCGCCGCGTCACATGTTGCAATGGTTTAGGGGATGTTAGTGTTTTTCTGTTTATAAGAGCTTTAGGTATGGGCGTGTCAAGTGAGGGTCTTGTGATGGGTCAGTTGTGACAGAGAGTGATTGGCCCAAGATCACCAAGCTGACTTTGTGCCCAAGGCAGGACTAGAACTCACGGTTTTCCAGTTTCTAGCCTGGTACTGTTATCCACTTCACCAAACTGACCCTGTTTGGCCTTGTAGTTTACCTGCAACCAATGGAATGTGTGAGGCAGTCACAATCTTGTTTTTACAGTCCTTATTCCCAGTGCCCTTCCACAGGTTGTCAGGTCATGGCATTGCAGCCCAGATACTTATCACTATGTCAATCTGTTAACAAATATTTAACTCATACGATGTTTATTTTCTACAGGTTGCATCTGAAAAGAATATGAACGGTGACCCTTACCCCTAAATTTTGGCTTAGTTTCCACCTGGTCATATCTGAAATGGAGTCCATGGCTGACCTGTTGAATCCCGAGTGACAGGATCCTGTGATGAAAAATGGAGAAAAAACGGAGGAAGAAATCAGCCTGATGATTAGGTTTCATCCGGAAAGACTATGCAGACAAGACTTTTGCTTGGCTGGGACAAAACTTTAGCGCTGTCAACGTAAAGAGCACTTAAAAAGAGCAGCTTTCCGTGAAACCCAGAGACTGAGGGGGAGAAAGAGAAAGAACTACTGGTTCATGGAGAATCACTGTGTGAATTGAATCCATGGCAATCTGGAAATGAAACCTTCTCCTTTCCTGAACATGCGGCTTGCAAACACCTGGTTGTTTCTCACTGCAATCTTACTCTGTGGCAAACAGCACCTGGGCACCAGGCTGGGGAATTCCTCCTCTCACGACAGTCATTTGTGCCCCGACTGCTCTCATCTGACCCTGAAGGTGGAATTCTCCTCAACCGTCGTAAAACACGGTAAGGAGTTCTTTGCAGCAGGTTGACCGGAGCCTTTGGAAAACGCAAATATAAATATAAATATATACATATTTATATAAATATAAATACGCGTAGTAGAGAAACTTTATCATGGCAGCGAAAGGCTGAGTAATTTATTTGCAGCATATTTTTATTATTGTAGGATTGTTGTCCTCAGGAGGCCAAATAACATAACTGGCCTTGCAGACTCTGACCTTGGCTACGTCTAGCTCATTATTAACTACTTTGTCGCAGTCGGCAAAGTACACCTTCTGTGTGGTGTATGAAATCTGTTTCGCGCTAAGCCGGAGATGAGTCATGGACTGCAGCCGTTAACTTCCCAGCTTTCTAATCTTGGGGAATATTGGATCCCGGCTGAGCATCTGCCGTAACATGATACGGTTACGGATGTGTTGGGGCTTGCCGTGTCAGGACTCATCAGTCTGTGTGAACAGCAAGTGCATCGAGGTGATCCTGCATCAACACGTTTACATAGTCAGATTTAATAACCTGTAGTAATTAATGAGGGAGGCGGTTTGGTATAGCGGTTAAGGCACCAGGCTAGAAATAGGGAGGCAAAGAGTTCTAGTCCTACGTTAGGCGCAAAGCTGCTGGGTGACCTTGGGCCAGTCATTCTCTCTTGGCCCTTAGAAGCAAGCAATGGCAAACTTCCTGTGAAATCAGCCAGGGTACTGGAGCAGGTACTCCGGAGCGCGGCTGGGACAGGCTGTGTGGAATGTAGGCAGGCCTAAAAGTGGCTGGAGTGACTTTTGACTTCCTGCTGGTTTCCCCATTGTTTGTGCTTGTGGGATCTGGCCCTTCCCTCCGTGTCTCCTTCGAGGAGTTGATTTGGCGGCCTTTCCCGAACTTGTTCCAGTAAAAGGCTTTAGACCCCTACCCAGTTTTAAAGTTTCCGTTGCCTTTTCTAATATGTGATAAACGGTCCCTTTGCAGAATACATCGTGGCGTTCAATGGCTACTTCTCAGCCCAAGCAAGAAGCAAATTCATTTCGAGAGCACTCAAGAACAGCGACATAGAAAGCTGGAGGATTGTGCCCCGCAACAACCCAGCCAGCGATTACCCCAGTGACTTTGAAGTGATCCAGATTGACGAGAATCAGACGGTTGGAGTGCAGACGCTCGAAGACCATCCCAACATCAAACGGGTTACGCCACAGAGGAAAGTCTTTCGCTCGCTAAAGTACACCGAGAGTAAGCATGCTCGGCATTTCAGTGAATTAATTGCTCCTGGGAAGAATTGGCCAGTCCTCATTCGCTTCCTCTGGAATTTTGCCGTTTCCAAAATCAAGTTTGCTTTTTAAAACCACATTTTAAAAATGAGTTTCCTTTGAAAAACGAAATTCAGGATAGAGAAAAGTAAGGTTTTACAGTTAGGCAAGAAAAATGAAATGCATAGGTACAGAATAGTGGTACTACCTGGTTCAACAATAATAATTGCAAGAGGGATCTAGGAGTCCTAGTGGACCACCAATTAAGTATGAGCCAGCAATGTGCTGCAGCTGCCAAAAAAAGGTCTGTTTTCTTGCAGATGTTTCATTACCCAACTAGGTAACATCATCAGTGCTAGAAGGGAATGGGGTTTCCAGAGAGGAGGAGGAGGAGGAGAGGAATGACTGATTTCACCATCCTCACTGCCAACAGCCTCCAAAGCAATCTCTTGACTGGAGTGAAATACTGTTTCTTCTTTCCCAGAATATCCCTGCAGCCTATAGTGCCCAATCTCTGCATTTGCTGAAAAAAAAATTGCAGTTTCTTTTCCGTATCAGTTGAGGAGTCCACAAAGTCTTATTTTTATTCCTCTTTCAGTTTGGCCCACTTGCTTTGGCCTTGTGAGAGATTATGCTCTAATATGCAATAATTAGTTCACCTTGAACTTCACTTTGAAGCTACTGAGAATGTTATCAGGACAGAGAACCTGCCCATTCAACCTTACAAGGGTGGAGTCAAGGCATGTCCAAGATAATCACCGACTACATGTTTTCGCCCAACTGCCAAGGCTGAAAATGCCCCTAGGGCAATTTAGATACGATTAATAGATTATCGCCAGAGATACGCAGTTTTTATGAATTTGTTTACAAAAATCAGCATTATGCTTTATGTCTAGGTAATCCTTGACTCACAAGCACAACTGGGACTAGAATTTCAGAATTTAAGGGCACTGTGGCCATTAAACGAATCATCACATTGACCGGACCCGATTTTACTACGCTTTTTATTGGGGTTTAAGCAAATCCCTAAGTGGTCTTTGAGCCAACACGACTTAAACTTGTGAAACTTTCCCAAAAGCTTGGGGGCCTCTGCTCTAATTGGTCAAGTGACATGTCTGTACTTCTCAAACCCCCAGCAGATTCCGCCGCTCCCTGTAACGAGACCCGATGGACGCAGAAGTGGCAGTCATCCCGCCCCCTCCGAAGGGCGAGCCTGTCTTTGGGCTCCGGCTTTTGGCACGCGACGGGCAGGCACTCCAGCAGGCGCTTGCTGAGAGCCATCCCTCGGCAGGTGGCACAGACCCTTCAGGCAGACGTGCTCTGGCAAATGGGCTTTACAGGTAGGCCTGTTGGTAGGTGCCGTGTGCATTCTCCATAGTTACAAAAGGGCATAAGAACAGCAGGGCTAACTTTTGGTGAGGAAGGTTAGAGTTTTCTTTTTTAGTAGAAAAGAAAAGATGAAACATCCTTCACATTGGAAGAATTCTCACTGCGGGTTTATTTTATTTTTTTAAACAAAAACCACTTTATGTAGCATTCATGTGGAGGGGCGCAAGGGCTCAGCGTTAAAGATGCTGAGCTTGTCAGCTGGAAAGCTGGCAGCCCGGGTTTGAGACCTGAGCACCGCACGACGGGGTAAGCTCCCGTTGCTTGCCTCGGCTCCTGCCCATCTAGCCGTTCAAAAGCAGGCAAAGGCGAGTAGATAAATAGGTGCCACTTTGGTGGGAAGGTAACAGTGTTCCATATGCCTTGGTGTAGTCATGCTGACCACATGACCAGAGAAGTGTTTTCTGTGGTCATGCTGGCTGGGGAATTCTGGGAGTTGAAGTCTCCCTGTCGTAAAGCTGCTGAGGCAACCTGCTAAACCAGTGTTTCTCAACCTTGACAATTTTAAGGCATGTGGACTTCAACTCCCAGAATTCCATAGCCAGCATTGCTGGCTGTGGAATTCTGGGAGTTGAAGTCCACATGCCTTAAAGTTGTCAAGGTTGAGAAACACTGTGCTAAACTCTTAAGGCAGGGAAAATATTTCCATTAAAACTTTTATGCGTCGGCATTATGTATTTCTCTATACAGCGTAGGCACGCAGGAATTGTTTCTTAAAACGCCATCGGAACTGGATCTCTCGTGCTAATCCCCGATTGTGTAAACCTTCTTTTGTACAAATAGGAGGTGGTGTAAGAGTGGCTGTCTTTGATACTGGACTCAGCGAGAAACATCCACACTTCAAAAATGTAAAAGAGAGGACAAACTGGACAAATGAGAGAACTCTGGACGATGGTAAAAAAAAACAACACCAAAACCAAAACTTTCTTTTACCAGTTTGAATTCTCCGTTGCATGTTGCAGTGGTAATTTTGTATTTTATTTGATGGCTTATCTTCGACAGGCCTGGGCCATGGAACCTTTGTCGCAGGCGTGATAGCTAGCATGAGGGAGTGCCAAGGATTTGCTCCAGACTCCGAACTGCATATATTCAGGGTCTTCACTAACAATCAGGTAAAGAGAGGACCAATATATAGCATAGTGGTTAAGGAGTTAGATTGAGACTGGGGGGAGGACCAATCCATCCCAAGTTGTGGAAGCTCCCTGGGGGCCTTTGGACCAGTCCCTAATCTTATTTCCTAAGTTTGTGATGGAAATAAAAATGGGAGGAGGGAATGCTGCAGGTGCCATTTCAATACCTGGAGAAGAGGTGGCACGTAAATATAAAGAGAAGTCAGTGCAGCATTCCTTAAACTTGTGTTCTCCAGGTACAGGGAGATTGCATCTGCCAGAATTTCTAGTGCCCTTCCCTTCCCTTCCCTTCCCAGGGCAAAGTTCTTTATAATACTGGGGTCATTACAGGGAACCTCCCTGTCGCCTTAATTTTGGGTAGTGTTGGCTCCCCTTCTGTGTGCATGAAGAGGTCAGGCAGATAACACCTTGAGGATTGTTGTTATTGTTGTGATGTTTAATATTAAGACCTGTTTTATTTTTAAATAGGTTTCATATACATCTTGGTTTTTGGATGCTTTCAACTATGCTATCTTAAAGAAGATCGAAGTGTTGAATCTTAGCATTGGAGGCCCAGATTTTATGGACCGTCCGTTTGTAGACAAGGTTGGTACGGCATGGGGGATGGGGGAAAAAGAGACGGGTAGCAATTAGACCTTTTTTTCCTTTTGTCTTAGAAGATTTAGTTCAATAAGTCAGTATTTTGGTTTTACACAAAATAATAATAGCACGGGGAATACAGTGCTATTATTATCAATACAGTCAAACCTGGATTGCTTTACAATATAACCTTCTCTGAATATTAAGTCTTGAGGTAGCTAATCCCTGTGTTTCTAACATCTGATTATTTTCATTTCCAAGGTGTGGGAATTGACAGCCAATAACGTTATCATGATCTCTGCTATTGGAAATGATGGTCCTTTGTATGGGTAAGTGGTGTTTTTCATATATATATATTTTGAGCAGAGATGTATTCTTTCAGAGTAAATTTACAATAAAGAAGTGCTTTTGCCATTTTTAAAAAACAATATTGATTTTTTTCCCCAAATAGCTTGATTTCTTTTCAATGTAATCCTTCATCTTAGAACACATGCTATAATACATACGTGATAGAATTTATGATTTAAAATAATGTGTGATCAGGGGGACTTGGTTTAAATTTCTTTGCAGGATTATTTTTTTAAACAAAATTAATCATTTTTTTTTAAAAAAAGAGTGAATGAACAAGTAAAAAGAAAATATAATTGTTTCAGAAATATAATATCCATATAGGGGAACAAAGGAATTGTACAGTGAGTGCTTTTTAATTCTTCGCAGGATTATTGTGAAGTTTTAAAAAAAGAGTTAGTAGGGAGAAGGGCAGAATTGTAGGTACTACCCTCATCTCCTTGGAAACAGAAAGTAATAGATCAATAATAAAAAATATTCATTCTTTTTCAGCACACTCAACAATCCAGCTGACCAAATGGATGTGATTGGAGTTGGTGGCATCGACTTTGAAGATAATATCGCTCGGTTCTCCTCCAGAGGGATGACCACATGGGTGAGCACCTTCGTAGGGGCATCGTGCTCAGGGTGATGCGAAGGCACTCAAAGGTTTAGCCTGGTGCATGGTCATCCATCACTTTACACGCCACGTGGAAAGCGCAGCTTAAGTTCTGTTCGATGTTGGTATAAATCTCATTCAGTTGAAGTGTGAGCGTCAAGCCATCTGCTCGATGATTGGGCTTTTCTCCCTAGGAACTTCCTGGAGGTTACGGGAGAGTCAAGCCTGATATCGTGACGTACGGCTCTGGAGTGAGAGGATCTGGCATGAAAGGGGGTTGCCGCTCGCTCTCCGGCACAAGTGTGGCCTCTCCTGTTGTGGCAGGTGCTGTCACGCTTTTAGTAAGGTACGTGCTCCATCAAAAGACCCTCCCCAGGCTTCTCAGGTGAAGCTGCATCGGTTCATCATCATTCAAACCCCAGGACAACCGAGGAAAGCAAATTGCATTCCGGGAAAGGCAATTTTCAAAGAGGGCAGTTTTTTAAGCAGTGGTGAGGTTGTTTTAAATCTTGGAAGCCCTGCTTCACATAGAGCAGGGGTGTCAAACTGCCGGCCCGTGGGCTGGACGCATCACATTTTTTAAAAGTTTATAATTTTTAGGTTTGGATCAGATTTGAGTACATTTCCCCAAACTTTGTGCCAGACCTTAGACAAATTTTCCCATCTTTTTTCTTTTTTAAAAAAAAAAGCACGACTCTTTTTCCTGTGTTTAATCCAATCATGCCTGTAACGTAAGCGTCTCCATCATGAATTTCAACAGGTAGTCCTCAACTTACGACTGCAATTGAGCCCAAAATTTCTGTGGCTAAGCAAGACAGTTGCGAATGCTGCTCCCTTTTATGATCTTTCTTGCCGTAGTTGTTAAGTGAATGACTACGGTTGTTAAGTGAGTAACACCGTTGTTAAGTGAATCCGGCTTCCCCGTGGACTTTGTTTGCCAGAAGGCGATCATGGGATCCCAGGACACCACAACTGGCGTAAGGATGAGCCAGTTGCCAATTGTTTGAGTTTGGATCACACGGCCACGGGGATGCTGCAACCATCATAAATGTAAAAGACACTCATCGGTCATTTTTTTCAGTGCGGTTGTAACTTCGAATGCTCACTAAATGGATGGTTGTGAGCTGAGGACTACCTGTACAATGATGAGAGCGGTATTCTTAGTAACACAACGAATCACTCCTGCTTCATTTAAAACTTCAGCACGATCAGGCTCAACATTTCAGCTGTTTCTGGCTTTTAGCACAGTTCCGAAGCGTGAAATGGTGAATCCAGCTAGTATGAAGCAGGCTCTGATTGCCTCGGCACGCCGGCTTCCCGGGGTCAACATGTTTGAACAAGGGCATGGCAAACTTGATCTTCTCAGAGCCTATCAGATTCTCAACAGTTACAAGCCGCAGGCCAGGTGAGTTTCTTTCCAGAGAAACAGCTCAGACGAGACCTTTTCGTCGGAAAAATAAACAAGCTGGCTGCAAATCCTGTTGAAACGCAGAGGCACGAAGCTGCCAAAGTTTTCACACTTGACAAGCCAGCTGGGAAGTTTTAAATGGTGATCACATGACAGTAGGACAGTGGGCTGTCCTAAGTACATGCCAGTTCCCAAGCGCCCAAATTTTGACCGTGTGGCCGTGGGGATGCTGCAAGGGTCCTAGGTATGAAAACCAGTCACCCGTCACTTTTTTCAGAGCTGAGATTTTGAAAGGTCTCTTAAGGGAATAGTTGTAAGTCGAGAACTACCTTACATTTCCAGTTTAAAGGCCAACGTTCATTGGGCGGTGAAACATAAAAGTATTTCGTGTATGTTTATTGCTTCTCGTGTGTTTATGCCTGCCCATTGTATTTTCCCTTTAGCCTGAGTCCAAGTTACATTGACTTGACGGAATGCCCTTACATGTGGCCGTATTGCTCTCAGCCCATCTACTACGGAGGCATGCCCACAATTGTCAACGTCACCATCCTGAATGGAATGGGAGTCACTGGGAGAATTTTAGACAAGGTAGGAGCTGGAGAAACCGAGCCAGGCTAAAGGACAACTACTGCATCACTTTACAGCCCTCTCTAAGCGGTTTACAGAGTCAGCCTTTTGACCCCAACAATCTAGGTCCTCATTTGACCAACCTTGGAAAGATGCAAAGCTGATTCAACCTTGAGCCAGTCAGGATCGAACTGCTGGCAGTGAGCAGTGAGTCAGCTTGCAATGCTGCCTTATGACCACTGCGCCACCAGAAGTTGTGGGTGCTCCATCCAGTGAGATTTTTAAGAAGAGACTGGACAGCCACTTGTCTGAAATGATATAGACCAGAGGTAGGCAACCTTGGCTCTTTTATGACTTGTGGACTTCAACTCCCAGAATTCCTGAGCCAGCCACGCTGAGGGGAAAGGGAGAGGTTTCCAAGCTGAGCCAGGCTGGCTCAGGAATTCTGGGAGTTGGAAGTGCACAAGTCATAAAAGAGCCAAGGTTGCCTACCCCTGGTATAGACTCTTCTGCCCATGCAGAAAATTGGACTAGATGACCTCCAAGGTCCCTTCCAGCTCTATTACTCTATGTTATTCTATGTTCTAACCAGTATTGTGTTCACTGTTCTGCTTCTCCAATTCTTCAGCATCTGCGGCCCCAGTATTTTGATCAATTTGCTTTCTCTTTTATCCTTTGTAGCCGGATTGGCAGCCCTATTTGCCACAAAACGGAGATTACATCGAGGTGGCGTTTTCCTACTCTCCTGTCTTATGGCCTTGGTCAGGGTACCTCGCCATTTCCATCTCCGTCGCCAAGAAAGCAGCCGTTTGGGAAGGCGTAGCGCAAGGCCACGTGATGATCACCATTTCTTCCCCAGCAGAGAATGAGGTTGGCTGAAGCTTTTAAAGATCATTGCCTTGTTTTGATGTATGCATGCTTGAGGCCATGGGCAAACACTGCCTCGGAGGGACAGGTAGCCTCATTGTAACGTGGGCATCCATTGGTTTGGCTCTCCAAAGGAGATAACTTCTCACTACACAACACTCTCTAGTAAGATCTGTAGACTAAGAATCTTCAGAACTTTTCGGAAGGATCCTAAAAGTTGCTTTGAAATGTTCAAAAGCACAAATGCACAAGCTTCAGATAACTGAAGTGTCTTTGCTTCCTTCAGTTAAAGTATGCGTAGGAAACAGCGCATGGGTATGACTGAAACAAGACTGGTTTGTAAGAAGAGGACGTCATGAAGAGGCGTTGTAAAACATTGTTGGTATTAACTGCATAGCTATATTTCCTCTGTTTCTTATCTCAAGCCTTAAATTCTTGGGTTTGCTGTTTCTTATTGCTTATTGTTCTGTCTTTGCATAGCATTGTTTGCCCTGAAATGGAACAGCGTAGTAGTTACGTATGGATGGATATTAATCAGTAGGTTGGATTACAAAATGGGTTTTGTTCAGGAAATTGATTTGATTTTGTTTTGCTTGTTTTCAGTCAAAAGTTGGTGCTGAGCAAACGTCAACCGTGAAACTCCCCATCAAAGTGAAAATTGTCCCAACCCCCCCTCGGAATAAGCGGATCCTGTGGGATCAGTATCACAATCTTTGCTATCCGCCGGGATATTTTCCAAGGGATAATTTAAGAATGAAGAACGATCCATTAGATTGGTATGTTTATACAGTTCTGGTCATTATTTATGGATGGTAATCTTGAGATATGAAGAAGCACAATTAGCTCAGGGTAAATTCTTATCTATTATTAGTGAATTTTATTCTGAAGAATAATATAATACTCTGTTTGAAAATCTGTGCATCTGTATCTACATTTCTTCTTGCAAATAACTACAGTGTGTATAGGCAATAAAGCCTAACTTTTTAAACAAGGTAAGAATAAATATATCTTTGGTGAACACTCTTTTGAATAGGGCCTGGTTGGTTTTAGAAAGTCTTCTAATACTTTCTGAATTTGCACTTGAATCTGTTGGCAGCTTATTTTCAAGTTAAAATGTAATATATGCAGGAAATCATTGCTTATGTTCTTTCAGTGTTTGGATAAAGTCATTTTCTCTAGAGACACTATAAATATTTAGTTCATTCAATTTTAGATTTTATTTGCTATTTTTACTTGGTGCAAGTTTATGCAGCCTGGCAGATAAAGACACTTTGATGCTGAGCTTTTTGAATGTTCTTTCTGTTGTCCATTTAGTTCTATTTTATGTGAATTGTAATCTCTGTCTCTTCTTCCTCTCTTCTTTCCCCTCTTCCTCCCCTCCCCTTTCCTCTTCCTCCTTCCTCCTTCCCCTTCCCCTCCCTTCCCTTTCCCTCCTCTCCCCAATAATTTCATTCCATAAAACGTAATTTAAGTTTCTGGTACATCAGAAAGCAGTTTGAGAGATGGTTAGACAACATATTTGATTTGTTCACCTCTTTAGGAATGGTGACCACATTCATACCAACTTCAGAGACATGTACCAGCATTTGAGAAGCATGGGTTATTTCATTGAAGTTCTTGGCTCACCATTTACATGCTTTGATGCCAGTCAGTATGGTAAGTAATAATAAGTTGGTGCTTATTTCCTTTTAGATTAATCCAAATCTTAGGATTTCAAAATCCATAAAACAAAGATAGGCAGATTCAGGTTTATATCATCTAATAATTTGCTAAACAACAAACTGTTCTACAATCTGGACTCAAGTATAAAATATGTCTATTTGATCTGAAAAAAGGATGTCTCCGAGAATTGTGGACTTATTTTTAAATTGAGCTTTTAGTGCTCAAGACCTGGTGACCTTCATTTTATTCATCTTGGCAGCTCAGTTTAGATGGAAAATGCCATTTAGTTGTTACTGTAAAAGAAAATGGAAGAGTTATCAAAAGGAGAGAGAAGAGTAGGACTTGAATCTGTCTAATAGGACAGCAATTTTGAAGTGAGCTGCTGCTAATTATATTTGAATGTTTTTATATGAAAATTCAAATTGCCATCTTTCAAAGTAGATAGCAGGAGATTGTTCTTTATAATTATCAGGTTGTTGAAACACTTAAGAAATGAACTTCAGGTCCTGAATCCTAAGTAGGATTTCTTAATGCAGCGTTGTCATTGTTATTTGATAAAAGTTTGTGAGGCTGATTTATTTTAGGGCTTTTATTACCTTTGATATACAGTGTCAGATTTTCTCTTGACCTCACTGAACCCCCCATTTAACATTCAGTCCTTTTATTCTACAAGAGGACATTGAGGGTGACGTTATGCAGGTTAGGGTGAAAAGTACACAGGTTTTAGTACATCTTAGGAACCCAAAGCTGCGTTCACAAACACAGACTTGACTCCAACCTCAAATTAACAAAACGATTCCTCTGCTGACTTCATTATGTCGTTTTATGCCCCAATAAAACATATTATGGCTTAATGTGATGACAGGTTCATCCGGCTTCTTGAGCAAGGGATGGGTTTCCTTGAGGGAAAGAGAAGGGATGAGAAGATGGATTACAAATTATCCAGCCCCATTTATTTTAATCCAGCACTTTTTCGTGCGGCTGCTGCTAAAAACAGGATCGCCAACATGATCGCCAACGTCCGATAACGGATATGGCACAAGAAGAAGAAAAAAAGAATATTTATGTAAGCTGTCAGGCACAAAGGATCAGGACCCTAGGTTAAGTTGCAGCACGGAAGATTTATTGGTAATTTTTTCAGTAAAGCAGTCATTTATCCGAATCATCTGATAACGTTTGTTGACGCCGATCATCTACAGCCTCCAGATTCTCTTTGTGCAGGAACATTGTTGATGGTGGACAGCGAGGAAGAGTATTTCCCAGAAGAAATCGTGAAGCTGAGAAGGGATGTCGACAACGGACTGTCGCTCGTCGTGTTCAGCGATTGGTACAACACTTCCGTGATGAGGAAAGTCAAGTTTTACGATGAAAATACACGGTAAGAGAGGTTGGACACTGCTGCAAACGGTTGCCAATTCCACGGGGAGGCAGAGCGACTGAACGGCAGAGAGACGTGTGGGTGGGAGGGGGAGACAGGTGGGTGAGGAGAGCTTGAAGCAGAGGTCTCCAACCTTTCTCGGCTGGCGGACCGGAGGGAAAGCGAGGGAGATGCATTTTACACTTGCGCACACATGCACAGCACAAACAGGACAGTGTTAGTGCCCACGTGACACTAGCACCGCCCTGTTTTTGTCACGTGGCGCCCCGTTTGCGTGGCGGTGGCGGCACTAGCACAGGTGTGGGTGAGTGCATACACTGGCCAGCCTGTTCTGCAGCCCAGTGTCCGTCAGGCCGTGGCCCGGTTGCGGGCTGCAGCCCACAGGTTGGGGACCCCTGGTTTAAAGGATGCTTTTAAAATGTAAGAGGTTATTTCAAAATGGATAAGATAAAGCACTGTAAACCTTTCGTTAATTTAAGCCAGGATTACAGGGAGGGCTGAGATGCTAGCCCTTTAGCTCAATCCTTAGGAGGCCTGCGCAGAATTTTATTTTAAGCCCCTTAAGAGCTGAGGCTTACATCTACAGGGGCTTCTTCTGTCAAATAAGCAGGCTTACTGTTGCCCTGGGTGGTGACAGCAGCTGTGGCGCATAGATTAGGCAGGTGGGATCCCGTTTGTACAGGTAGTCCTCGAATTGCAACCGTTCATTTAGTGACGGTTCAATGTTACAACGGCACTGGAAAAAGGCACGTGACCGTTTTTCACACTTATTGCGACTGTTGCAGCATCCCCAGGGTCACCTGATCAACATTCAGGCCCTTGGCAAATGACTCGTGTTTATGACGCTGGCAGTGTCCTGGGATCATGTGATCCTCTTTTGCCGTGTCATTAACAATAGCTGGAGGGTTTCACTTAACAAGGGTGGCAAGGACTGTTGTAAAACTCACTTAACAAAGGCTTCAGTTAGCAACAGAAAATTTGGGCTCAGTTGTGGTTGTAAGTCGAGTAACCTGTAGAGTAACTAGTTTTTATACATGTCTTCTCTCCCCCCCCCCCCCCCCGGAACATCTCTGGTGCTCTTCTGCTGATTTCTCAGGCAGTGGTGGATGCCGGATACCGGAGGAGCAAATGTTCCCGCACTCAACGATCTCCTCTCCGTCTGGGGCATGGCCTTTAGCGACGGGCTCTACGAAGGAGACTTTACCTTGGAAAGCCAGGAAAGTAAGTACGGGGAGTCCTCACATAACGACTCTTTGGTTAGTGACTGTTCAAAGTTACAACGAAAAGTTCTCTGGTGAGAAGGGCCTGGCTGAGGAATTCTGGGAGTTGAAGGCCACAAGTCACAAAAGGGCCGAGTTTGAAGAACCCCGGAATAGAGAGGAATCATTGGCTACAGGTTTTTTTAATTAAAATGAACTAGAATTGCCTAACACAGGGGTCCCCAATCCCCAGGCTGCGGGCCACTACTGGGCCTTGAGCCTTTCAGAACCGGGCTGCGGAAGGAGCGGGGGTGTGTGCGCATCCTCGCTTGCTTGAGCAGCGAGCAAGCACGCGTGTGCTTCATTTGCGTGAGCCGCACAGGCGCATGTGCATACTACTTGCGCCAACAGAGCTGCACGATCATGCGTGTTTGCCCGCCGCTCACATGGAACCCCTCCCTCCACACACACACCCCGGCTGGTCCGCAAAGCCAAAAAGGTTGGGGAACTCTGGCCTAACAACACCAATATGTGTTATTTTATTTTCAGTGAATTATGCCTCGGGATGCAGTATTGCAAAGTTTCCAGAGGATGGCATCGTAATTGCACAGACTTTTAAGGATCAAGGTACTGAGTTCCTCTCTTGCGTTTAACATTCTTGTAGATATGAGCTTGAATCTTCTGCTTTCTTTTAACAAGGAAAGCTTGGGGAAAACCTGGCATTCATATTAAGGTAATCTGCTGCAGCGTCTTGGGGTCACGTGATCACGTGTCATGACCTGACGGGCAAGGCCATTGGGCAAAGCCAGAGTCACTTAACAACCGTGTTACTAACTTAGCAACTGCAGTGAGTCACTCAACAACTGTGGCGAGAAAGGTCGTAAAACGAGGCAAAACTCTCTTAACGATTGTCTCACTTAGCAACAGAAATTTGGGGCTTCGTTGCGGTCGTAAATCGAGGACTACCTGTGTTCTCTACCGACTGACGCTTCGGGCACCGTTTGATGCAGTTTGACCCCTTTTTTCTCTCTCTTTTCCTCCTAGGTCTGGAAGTTTTAAAGCAGGAGACGGCCATAGTCGAACACGTTCCCATTCTGGGCCTCTTCCAAGTTCCTACAGAAGGGGGGGGCAGAATCGTTTTGTACGGGGACTCGAACTGCCTGGACGACAGCCACCGGCAGAAAGGTGTGTAAGACTTGTGCAACACATTCCAGCTACCGTAACACTCAAGCACAGTGGCAGATTCCAAAATGGAAGACTGTGCATGCAGTTATGCACATCTGTGCATAAATCAAATAAAAACTTCCGCACCTTGGGATCTGAAATTTGTAGATTTACAAGCCATTTGTGAATTCCATTGTATTTATTACTGATATGCCTTCTCATGACACTTTCATTAGCCAGTGCTGAAATACTGACCGTAAAAAAAAAATTCTTCTCCAAGATTTGGAACATCGGTCTTGTTCACACCTAATGCCAAGTCAAGTAGTGGGCTTGTTTTGCATTGCAACACACAACCTCTTCCCTATTACACAACTGCACACAAGCCAAGACTGACTGGGTTTGCACATGGTTTATGAACAAAACAATTGGCCGGTTTTGCACAGTATTTCAAGCCAAGCTACCTGATGGCTCTGGACCATATCTTGATGTAGCTTAGTGTTTCTCAAACTTGGCCACTTTTAAGACGTGTGGACTTAATTCCCAGAATTCCTCAACCAGCATTCTGGCTCTGGGATTCTGGGAAGTGAAGACCACACATCCATCAAATATGAGCAACACTGAGGTAGCTTGATCAACAAATTGCAGTTAAAAACCTGGCTTTTAAACTCTATGATGTTGACCCCAGTCAGTGATTTGTGTGGTTAAATTAACTATTGGAGAAAGCTGAAAATTATAAGACATGTTTATTGAAAATTGGAGACATTCAGAATATATTGGAAGATTATACCTTTATTTTATAGCTAGCTAGCCAGCTAGCCTTGGATAAAACGCTCTAATAAACAAGTTTTAAATAGCGGCAACTTCCAATCTCATTAGAAGGATTCTGTTGGAACAAATTATTCTGACTTTATGGGAAGTAGGCTGACTTTGAAGCAGTCTGTTCCAGCTATGGAATGGAGGTTGAAACAGTCCGTGTTCAGATTGGGCCAATTCTGATAACGTTGGCACAGGTGATACTCAACATATTTGTTGAAGGTGGAACAGGACATTTTGAAATCAGAACACCGCAATCTCCAGTTGCTCTATAAATCTCTACTTTGAAATTTTTAAAATAAATGTACTGTGATGATTCAGGATCACAGTTTGCGTTGATTCCAGAACATGTAGCCTGTGGGATCTACATTTCAGAACAAATTAATCTTTCCTAAGGTTTATTTCATATTGATGTAAACTATAACTATGTATAATAATAATAATAATAATAATAATAATAATAATAATAATAATAATAATAATAATAATAATAAAAGGTTAATGAGCAGTGTTTCTCAATCTTAGCAACTTGAAGATCTGCAGATTTCACCTTCTAGAATTCTGGAAGTTCAACTCCACATATCTTAAAATTGATACGGTTGGGAAACACTTGGAGTATTGAAAAAAAATACCAATCTTAATCCATCCCATTGAGGATTACAGCTAGTCCTTGATTTACAACAGTTCATTTAGTGACTGAAGATACAACTGCAGTGAAAAACGTGTCTTATGACCATTTTTCCCACACTTAACAACTCTTGCAGCGTTCCCCATGGTCACGCGATCCAAACTGAGATACTTGGCAACAGACTAACTGGAAAATAAGACCTAACGCATCTTTTGGAGCAAAATTAATATAAGACCCGGTCTTATTTTCGGGGAAACACGGGCATTAACTTCTAGAGCAGTGTTTTTCAACCTGTGGACCTGTGGACTTCAACTCCCAGAATTCCCCATCCAGCCATGACGGCGGGAGAATTCTGGGAATTGAAGTCCACAGGTCCTCCAGTGGCCAAGGTTGAGCAACATTGGACTAGAGAAGGGTGCTCGGTTCTGTTTTTAGCGGTGAAGTAGAAAGGCCTTGAGTTGCGGCGTCAGCCAGCCTTCCACATTAGGAGTGGGAGGTGGTGACTCCTGCGGTGACTCCAGTAAGCTTAGCAGTCTTTAAAATTCCTCACATACATAATGTGTAAATCCTAAAAATGTGTCTGACCTCCGTATTAAAGAGAAAAGAAATCAAAGGTGCGTACTTCGGTGACATGGGGATTATGAAGATTAATATCCATTCCCACCAAAGGGTAATGGGAAGCGGGGGAAGGATTTTACGAAAAGGCCTTTGAACTGTGCTTAAATGATTTGAGAGTAAATCTGACTCTCGGCTCCAAGCTCCAAGGCAAGGAGGGTTGGGGATCTTCGCTAAAGTCAGTTCAGAGGACTTTCCGAGGAAAATCTGGTAGCCCTAAAAAGCCTCATGGCTTATTCTTTGTTTATTGGTATCCCACCTTTATTTTTTTTACAAATAAGGCAGCAAACAGGTCTAATACAGTCACTATTTTCGGTGCCACTGTAACTTTGAACGGTTGTAAGTCAAGGACTACCTGTGTTTACTGCATAACTGCTGTGAAGAATCTTGGAAGCCACTTAATATCTTTTTTTTCCTTTCTTTTCAACGTTTTCCCCCCCCTTCTTTTCTTGACCTTTATACGTTTTCTTTGATTTCTTTTTTTCTTTCTTCCCTACTTTATATTACTCGGCGTTAGTTTTTAATCTCCTCGCTTAAAAGTTTTAATGAAAATTACATACAAATTGATTGGACGCCCACACGCTGTGTTAAATGAAGCCAAGGGCATAGCTTAATGTGATGAATAAGCCTAGATTTCATTTAGTGATTGCGCCAACCTCCTCGTTGTCTGAAGCACTCTATTTTGACGTGGTATCTGAGTTGACAAAACGTTATCTGCAGTCGACTGTTAACCCAAAATTCGGAAAGCAGGCTTTGAAACCAGGTTTGCGAGCCAAAGTTTTCTGTAGCTAGTGTGTTGTGCGAATTGCAAAGCGTGGGCGTACCTGCTATTATTCCGACCTCTGAAGAATATTCATTAAAAAAAAAAACAGGAAATGATGAAGAAGGCAGACGCAGAAGCATAATTTGCTGCTATATTTCAAACCTCTTACAGGTAGTCCTTGACTTTTGACCACTAAACTTTAGTTTAGTGACTGTTCAACATTACAACAGCACTGAAAAAGGTGACTTGTGACCGTTCCTTGCATTTAAGTCTCACTGGCTCAAGGTTGACTCAGCCTCCTGTCCTTCCAAGATCGGTAAAATGAAGACCCAGATTGTTGGGGGCCATAGGCTGACTCTGTAAATGGCTTGGAGAGGGGTGTGAAGCAGTATATAAGTCTAAGTGCTATTGCTATTGCCCTTCCTTCCTTCCATCCATCCATCATGCACAATGCTTAGAATGCAGTATTGCAGGCTGACTCTGCCCATTGCCAGGAGTTCGATCCTGACTGGCTCAAGGTTGACTCAACCTTCAATCCTTCTGAGGTCGATAAAATGAGGACTGAGGACCCAGGTGGTTGGGGGCAAATATGCTGCCTCTGTAAACTGGTTAGAGAGAGCCATAAAGTAGTGCAAAGTGGTGTATAAGTCTAAGTCCTAGCGCTGTTAAAACCACTGCAACACACCTATAATCATCCAATTGCAATTTGGGTGCTTATAACCCAGTCTGTTTTCATGCCTAAGGGGGACTAGAAGTCTTCATATCCTGGTTTCTAGGCCGGCACCTTAACCCTCTTAACCCCTACACCCAACCGGCTCTCTCTTCCCATCTACCTTGCCTTCGACAGGTAGTTCCAGAGAAGTAAAAGATAAACGCTTGACATTTTCAGCCGCCCCCCTCACCCTCTGAAGCCCCGCAAAACTAAGGTAGACCTCAGGTGTGCAGAGCGCCAACTCTTAATGGCGCAGAGCGTCTGGGAAAACAGATGGCATCCCTAGGGATTATTATTTTTTTTTAACTTAAAATCCTGCTTGAAGAAACTGTGCTGCTCACAATTGGCTCACTTGGCTATTCAGCGGGCCTGTTCGGAGCGCCGACGCGATTTCATATCTTCGTTTTTGATTTCCCCAGATTGCTTCTGGCTGCTCGACTCCGTCCTGCAATATACGTCCTACGGAGTGATGCCGCCGAGCCTCAGCCACTCGGAACACAGGCAGCGGCCCCCGACCGGGGCGGGTTACGTTCTTCCAGAGAGAATGGAAGGTGATTTGGTTTGATTTTTTTTTTACAGCCAGGGCTCAGAGCGATGGCATTTGGTGTGGAGGGGAGAGGACAGGACACTTCTATTAACGTTGTCAGTTTCAATCTTTTTTTCTGGAGTGGGAGAAAAGCGGAGGGAGAAAACAACAGGAGTGGGGTCAAGGAGAAAAGAGGGTCAAGCCAGAGGTGGTGGGAGGTGTTTTGGAGAACAAGGGGGGGGCAGGTCACAAACTGAAGCCCCCTCCCTCCCCAGCAAGGGAGTCAAGCTCTTCTCCAAAGCCCTTGAAGGCAGGACAAGAAGCAACGGATGAAAACTCATCAAGGAGAGAAGCAACCTAGAACTAAGGAGAAACTTCCTGACAGTTAGAACAATTAACCAGTGGAACAACCTGCCTCCAGAAGCGGTGAATGCTCCAACACTGGAGGTTTTTAAGACTTTGTCTGAAATGGTATAGGGTTTCCTGCCAGAGCAGGGGTTGGACTAGATGACCTCCAAGGTCCCTTCCAACTTTATTATTCTTATTATTAACCCACTTGCAGCTTGCAATGTTCCCACCAAAGTGGGTTTGGCTGTGAGTTGGCTCATTTTTATATGCTTTGGGATGCTCCGAGGCAGCCTTTCTCAACCGTGGCAACTTGAAGATGGGTGGATTTCTGTAGCCACCTGAGGGATTCTGGGAGCGGAAGTCCGAAAGTTGCCAAGGTTGAGAATTCTGTCAGTTGAGCCCCACGCATCTTAAAGCATAGCTGGCTGGGGAATTCTGGGAGTTGAAGTCCAACCCATCTTAAAGTGGCCAGGATTGAGAAGCACCGTTCTAATGGGCGAAAAGTTGCAAAGGCTTAAAGCACTGCCCCCTCCCCCCCTTAAAAACTTCAAATATTTCCCCTCCTCCCCATGTCAGACCAATTCCTAGTTTGGGGAGATGTTTGCCTCTTCGTGCTTTCCCCCCAGGGCTGGCATGTTTGCACCATGGACTTCTTTGCCTCCTGGCATCCGCAGATTGTGCAGGGAAGCAAAATGCCTCCTTCAGCTTTCTAATCTTTTCCCCAGGATCTGCTGGTTCGCTGTTGGTTTTATTTATTGGCAGTTCAGCCCATCTCAAAACTCTTGAGTGGCTTACACAGAACCAAGCTCTTTTTGGCTTGTCTGCTTTGGTGGTGTTGTTTTTTTTTTAAAAAAAACCTCCCCTAATCAGTGTTTCTCAACCTTGACAATTTTAAGGCATGTGGACTTCAACTCCCAGAATTCCACAGCCAGCGTTGCTGGCTGTGGAATTCTGGGAGTTGAAGTCCACATGCCTTAAAATTGTCAAGGTTGAGAAACACTGCCCTAGATAAATAGGGTAAAGAGTCAGCTTCAGTAAAACCAAGATCTAGTTCTCAACACTTAGAAAAAGCAGCAAGCGACAGACTTCCAAGGATTCCCAGTAATTCTTTTCTACATTTCCAGGGAACCACCTTCATCGCTACTCCAAAGTGCTCGAGGCTCACCTGCGTGATCCGAAACCTCGCTCACTTCCGGCATGTCCTCATTTGTCCTGGGCAAAGCCACAACCTCTGAACGAAACAGCACCCAGGTTGTCTTTTCTTTCTTTTTTTTTAATTGTTTCTGTCTTTTAGAAAAAAAATTCAGTTTCAAATCTGATCAGTGGATCTATGGAATAATAAAATAGGTCTTAGGGTTTGTAAAGGGAAATGTGCAAAGGTGTATTTTTAAGCTGCACCGACTTGAACAGTGGCGGCAAAAAAATTCAGAAAATGTCTACCTTGACTCTGCTGGTGGGTCACCCACTCCCCGTCCCCAGACAAAAGAGGCCCGTCTAGACACTCTCTCTCAGTCTCCTCTACAGATCCTCTCGCTGTCTGTGGAGATGCTCAGTCATCCAGGCCCTGGAATTCTGGGAGTTGAAGTCCCCGAGTCATAAAAGAGCCAAGGTTGCCCACCCCTGGTCTAGAAGCCACAGAAATTGGAAGCCCTCAGGGATGCTGATTTCATTCTCATGAGATCCAACATGTATCTCACGCTGCCAGATCCTGTGGCTGACAGCAAAGCCAAGTCAACGTGGAATGGAATGCCAAGACCCACACGGTAGTGTTTGGTAGCCAAGAACACCCTCAAAAATGGCTGTTCTCAAACCTTTAGCAGACTTTAGGAAACATTGCTTGACTTCTTTAAGCAGACATTTCTGCAATATCCTTGTTTGACTACCCAGGTCTGACTGAACCAGGTTAAACCAGCATCTCCCCGATTGAGACCTGTGGTAGGCATTACATCTGATGCTCTCAAGAATGATTCCTTCCTTTAGATCGGGGGTAGGCAACCTTGGCTCTTTTATGACTCGTGGACTTCAATTCCCAGAATTCCTGAGCCAGCTTAGTTTATTTATTTATTTATTTGATTTGTATCCCGCCCTTCTCCTTACCGGACTCATGAAGTCCATGAGTCATAAAAGTCCATGAGTCATAAAAGAGCCAAGGTTGACTACCCCTGCTTTAGATATTCATTATATTTTTCTGGTCATCTCAGCAGTCCAGGAAATGTAAAGATTTCGATTTGATTTTCTCTCTTCTAGCAACCTTTGGAAACATCAGAAGTTATTATCGATTGATTTGGATAAAGTGGCCTTGCCAAGTTTCCATCAGAACCGGCCCCAAGTAAGACCTTTATCACCGGGAGAGAGCGGAGCATGGAATATTCCAGGAGGTAAAAAATTGAGACGAGTGGGTTATGCAAACCTAAGCAATAAATAAACAATGTAAACATGTGCAAACAAAAGTAGCTCTTTGTTAAAAGGTTTAAAAACTGAAATGTTACTTCCTGGAAAGGCCGATCAATTTTGTCTGTGGATTTTCACGTTTTTTGCTCTCCTGTGCAGGAATCATGCCTGGCCGTTACAATCAGGACGTGGGAGGGACGATCCCCGTCTTCGCTTTCCTGGGCGCCATGGTGGTCCTGGCGTTTTTTGTGGTCCAAATCAAGTCCAAGAGCAGGCCAAAGAGAAGGAAGCTTCGAGTTAAACGGCCACAAATTATACAGCAAAGCCACCCTCCAAAGACCCCCTCCGTTTGATGGCTGCAGCCAAAGATTTCACTGACCGCTTTGTGGGAATTGTGATCGACTGCTAAACCGACCGTTTGACCTGACCTAGCAACCTTCTGCTTTTGTCTTGGGTGCTTGACAAGTGACGGACGACCTTCAGATTAAAAAAAAACACACTATGATTTTTCAGTAGCTAAACTGACCAAAGGCTTAAAACACTATTTAAGAAGGAATCAGTTGCTTCTGAGTTTGGGAAGGACCTTTTCTTTCCCCCCCCCCTCCTTTTGACATTGACCAAACCTTTTCAGCAGAGGCTATTTTCTGTATTTATTTTCAGAGGGACCAGGAGAAGAGATCCTTTTCAGGAATCCCCTTGATTCATGGATGGCAGCACCGTTTTGTTTTTTTTCTCCCGAATGGTGTGCCTTTATTTTTTATTTTATTTTTTAAAAAAGTTCTCTCTTATGAAGACAAATAGAACTCAGGTGATCCTCCTGCAAAAATGAGAAAGAAACCCGACAGTTTGAACAAAAGCAGGAACAAATCGGTGTGGTTGATTTGTCTGACCAGCGTGGACCTGTAGTCCTTTCATTTATTTTTTATAAAGCAACTTACCGTGACGTTTTGTAATTCTTCAGCATGATTTCACCCTTGCGGGTGGATAAAAAATTTTTTTCAATAAATATGCTACCTATATTGAAATGGAAAGAACAAAAAGCCAGCACCCCCTCTGCCCCCTAAACGAAAGAGGAAGTGCTGGCAGAAGAAAGTATTTGTAGCTCAGAATTGAATTGGGGGGCCTTTTGTGCGCTCTGAGCTTGGTTGTTCTCTTGCGGTCGTTTCATTACCCAACTAGGTAACGTCATCAGTGCCGGAAGGGAATGTGGCTTGTAAAATGGAGGAGGAATACTGTGGGGTCCTTGGTGCGCTCTGAGCGTGGTTGTTTTCTTGCAGACGTTTCATTACCAAACTAGGTTACATCATCAGTGCTAGAAAGGTGTGGAATTTGCTCCATGTTTATATACAAGTGGCTTTCCCTATCAGTGTCGGTGGGACAACAGCCTAATCCAGGGGTAGGCAACCTCGGCTCTTTTATGACTCATGGACTTCCAACTCC